AAAAAAAAAAAAAAAAAAAAAAACAATATTTACATCAATATATCAATAAATCAATGATTAAAAATATAATTGAAATACTATAAAAATTGGTAAAAATAGAATTTTCAATCATATTAGAAAATTACATATACTTTTATATGTTTTTTTTCTTAAATAAAATATTACTATTGTCAAACTGTTAATCTTTTAAATCAAACACATTGTGAAACCATCACTGAATAAAAAAAAATTGAATTGCTGATTTTACAAAACATACAAATATCACATAAACAAGTGAATTTTGACTGCATCAAAAATAGAATTTTACATTTTTTTTTTTAAATTATTATTTTTTTTTTTTACAAACTATTGGATTTTTATTTTGATACAATTCTATAATATTTATTGGATTAATCAGCAATTCAATTACATTATAGGACTTTAAAATTAGAGTTTTTTGTCTTCATCATACTAACTAGGATACTAAAATTTTTATTGTATTTTTAGCTCACCTAAATATGTGACTAGACACTGATGCAACAATCAGTCAATGATGAGTTTTGTCACTAAACAATTTAAAAAGGAAAAAACAATTTTTAAAATTAAATAATTTTGTTACTTAAAATTACTTAAAAATAATAGACTGGTAAAGTATTGAAAATATTACTAAGAGGCAATAAAATTTCATTAAAACAAACAAAAATTGATTCTATTGAGTTAATTTAACATTTAAAAAGACTTGAGGAGAAATTATTGAAAAACTATGATCATTTTTTTTTTTTTATTACAAAACAGAAAAGATGGGAGCTATTCACGTTAAATGAAGGAAAATCACAATAGAAATAATTGTGTAAAAACATAACATGAATAATAATAACAATACAACAATTGTCAATAGTTAAATTGCGAAGACTGATTAGATAGTTATGTTGAAGAGTAGAGGTGTTGTTTTTTGTAATTTTTTTGCCTCAGCTTGGCACGAGTTTAACCATTGCATAGGTGGCAATGGTAAATCTCCAGGTGAGGGGCAATTACTGAATTTTGCTCCTGCATAAAAGTTGTCACCATTTGGTGATCTGCAACGTTCATTCATATTCATTAGTTGTTTAAGTAAAGCATATTTTTCAACAACCATCTTTTCAATATCATCTTCTTTAAATTTTTTACAGTGCCCATATTTCTTGGGCGACTCATATGAAGGTGGTGAGTGATGTAATGGTACATCTTGTAAGCGCTTGGAAGGAGTATCAATAGGTTGTGATCGCATTAAATTTGGTCTTTTGTCTTTAACATAATGAGCTTTTTTAACATCTTTATGAAACATTGATCTATCATCAGTAACATCACCATCTGATAAACTTTGATCAACAATGTTTCTGGTATTTTTATTCTGAAAATGTGTTTCTTCATAGCTAAGATGTTTTACACAATTAGGTGTTCTAAATTTAGGTTTTTTATGCTCATGGTTCATTTTAAAACTTTTTGGAGTATGAAAATCTGTTTTAGGTAAAACTTTAGTTTTACTTCTATGAGAATTACTTGGAAGGCTATTTCTTCTTTGGCGCACTGGCTTGTACATTTTTGTTATATCCATTTAACTAAATATTGTTTATTACACTCAATGAACAAATTCAACCTATATAAAAAAGATTTCTTTTAGCTACATTTTTCATAAATAAAATTGTTGAGAAAACCATTCATAAATTTGGAATTCAATAAAATCATTCATATAATATAAAATAATAAATCTTAGGAAAGCAAATTAATGCCACACGAAAATCAAGACAATTAAAAAACTCAACAATATTGTATTAATATTATTAAAAATAATGTATAATATACTTTAAATTATACTAAAGACTTTTAAGGAATAACCTGGGTTCATCTTTTAATAATTATACCAACAAAAATAACTCATTTATCTATGAATAGATTTAATTAAAAAATTAATTTCTATACTCTACACAATTTTTGTAAATGTATACAACTTTAAGTTTCCAAATGACAATCATATTAATATTTAAACCTCAAGCAGATAAATAATATCCTCTAATAAGTTACTGATAATTGGTTAGGTTTGTTAATAATCTTTGGTCTCCAATCAAAGCTTTTACTATTAACATAACTATGGTACAAATGGACTACTTCCAACAAAATTTTAATACATCAACCAACAATCTCTTAAGTTGTACTAAGTATAATATAGATTTTTAGTTTTATTTTATGTATGGATACTCTATGATTTACTCATCTAATTAATTTTAAATTAAATTATATATATTAATTATAGCGTAGTATATAATTTATACTTTATAGCAACTATAAATCAATGTAACAATTCATTTATACTATTTATAATTGTGTATGTGTAATCAAAATATTTCAATCCAAATATGTCAGTTTTGAAATAGACCTTAATTACATACAGTTAAGATCGTGTTTACAATTGAATTAATTTTTTACACATTGGTAAATTTTTTTTTAATTCAAAAATAAATATGCAATAAATTATTTAATGTATCTCACATTAATATAATAATATTGAGCAAACACCATAGTTGAGACAAGTTTAGATTATATCTTAGTGATAGACATCACTATCAAAAAAAATTCTTTGATTAGAATTTATTAAGTTTTACAATAACTTGCATATATGTAATTTCACAATTTGTTTTAAAATTTTATTCAATTATTAAGTGTTTATTATATTATTAGTTTAATTGAAAATCTAATATTTATATTTTTAAAATTGATATGCAGATTTAAAATTTTGAATAGTAATTGAAGAATGAAAATTGATTTTAAAAAATAATTGAAGTTTTAAGTACTGTTTATAATCTTGGAAATTCTTAATATTATACTATAGATAATTTTTTTAAATTAAATAAAAGAAATACGCGTTTAAAATGGAGATGTTCTTCTTTTGGAGAAGACAAATTTTTAAACATTTAATAGAATGTTAACAAATATATTTACTATTCAACAAAACAGTGTAGTAGCAGTGATCATTAAGTTCAATACAGTGTCCTACTTTCTACTCTCCCCACCCACAAAACCAGGTGACTGGTTACCGCCGCCATTACGACCACACAATATTTGATGAAAACAAAGAATAACATCGCTGTAATTCAACATCTTGTATGGTGTTAAATTTAAAAAAGAAAATTGCTTACCTTAAAAAAAAGGTTTCAATATCTAACGCGATAGGATAAAATAAATTATTACAATTTTAGAGGGGCCGTGAATTACAGCTGGCAATAATTGTGTGTCAGTTAAAAACTGCGATGTGAAATTTACAAATTATTCTACTCGCTGAATAGATTTGAAAACGAGTTGATAGAAACAATTCACTTATTATAAGTGAATTTACTCTATTGTAATACTTTTTAAATTTGAATCTTTAGGTTTGGTAGGCTACTATAAATGAATTGCATTGATTCGATCACAACTCTACAAGATATCTAAAATCGTCTACTTCGATCTCTTATTGAGGTACTTTTCATGCATCTCATTTAAATGCCTTAATCTATTTACAACACTTACCTTGTCGAGACGATATATGCTCCGTCGGACGATCGTTTACTTTGCCTTCAGCCGAGTCAAATTTACTTAATGTTAGTCGTAAATAAAATAACCGAAATAAATGTCTTTTTCGTTTAGGAAAATATTTCATAAGCCGACGACGATATGACGTGCGCTACTAAATAAATCGTTAAACAAAACACTAATGTAGCAAAACCAACTTATAACAGTCACGTTGTGTACGGTTCAGTCTGTGGTCTGTCAGATAATTCGAACAATGACCATTATGTAAAACCACGACCGTATGTCAAACGTCGCAATAAGATGGTAACAACACTACGAATATTCGACGTCGAATACACAATGACGCACACGGCAGTAGCTAGTACGCAGGCGAGGCCTTGTTAAATGATGTATAGTAATAAAGAGCCTCGAAATCGTTTGTATTTAACAAAAAGAGTGGGGATTCAGGTAAAGTGAAAGGTTACCGCACCTTCAATGCATCACATCGTCAATACAACTATAAAGTAGCGACATCTGGTGTTAGCTGGCACACATTATATTTTACCAGATGATTTATTATAAATTATCTTCTTTAATTTTTCGTTAAATAATGATTTTCATAAAAATGTATACAATTAAATAAAACTTATTACTATTATTTATTTACTATTAAATGGTGAATGATTTAAATAATACGTTGACAGGTTAATAACCGGTATTACATTATTATTTTTTTAGTAGTTATAATTTTTAGTTATAGACAACTGGTGTGTGCAACATAGAATTTGTATTTGTGCATTATGGTAAAAATAGAGCGTCGCTATACATTGCCAACCCCCTCACCTTATCTAAATCTTCAAATGCTAATTTCTCAAAAAGTAATAATACATGGTTATCGAAAGTTCTGTCAAAGTTTTGTTTAGATCATTCTCCATTTAATAGTAAATAATTAATAATGTTTACCCATTTAATTTTCGAAAGTTACCCCAGAAATCTACTCTTAGAAATAATTTTTCTTACAATAAACTTTATATTTACAATGATTTACTAATTAAAATACTGGTATATTTAATATTGATAATGTAATTTAAGAATTGATAATCTCTTTTTCTATTAAATATGTAATGATTTTCACATATATAATATAACACGTATTATTTTAAATCATCTTTATGGGAGATGTTTCTGAATATTTTTATACAAGTTAATTAAAGGTTGATTGAACATATAACTAAGTAGTTCTTAATTAACTTGAATTAAGTTTTATTTATAGGAGGATGTCTGGTGAGAATGGAAACATTTGATAATTTCAAGCAAAACTTTTTTTGATGCATAATGTCTTTAAAAAAGAAAATTTACACGATACAAAAAATGTCAACCGATAGTATTATGTTTTTAAACAACTTTTATTTATTTTTTATTTACTATACAAAATATCTAGGTATTTATTTTAGGAAAATCTGTATTCAATTTTAATTGCTTAAAAAGAATTACATTTTCCGGAATATTTTTTTCAACGATTCAGTTGATTCATTTATTTCTTTATCTTAATTAAATTGATAATAATTTTATAGTTGTTTAAAATTAATTTTTGTTTATAAGGAGATATGATTAAAAAAAAAAGTTAATTATTCACAGGGGCGTCTTTGAATTTTTTTTTAGTACGCATAGTTATTATAGAGGACGTGCCTGGATAGAGAGATCTTTTATCTCTTATTTTGATGTTGAAAGGCTGAAGCGAGTAGACTTTACCTTAGGGATCAAGTTGATAACACAAAATTTTAGGTACGCAAATGTATACTCCAAGACCCGTAAGTGATGCCCTTGATTAGAAGTTATGCAATAATTTTGATTTTATTTTCTAATATTTTAGTCAATGTACGAGTATGCAGGGCTGTCCTGTGAAGAAAAAAACTATGTTGATGCTATAATATATATATATATATATATATATATATATATAAGTATTAAAATACTTTATAATAGTTACAATTTGTACAATATTTTTCTGTTGGCAAAAAGGAATTTTAATTTCTCTTCATATATTTAGCTTTAGGACACCCCTGAGTACTTGTTTTATAAAATAAAATTTAATACCAATGAAATAAATAAATTTTTAATGATTATATATTAGAGTTATTTCAACTAATTGGGAATTTGTTAATTTTTAGAATCAAGCTGAGGACATGTGTTGTCGGTGATATTAAAATCGTAAACACAACCATTGTTTATAACACTGCATTTTTTAAAGTACTCTAAAACGTTTTGTATTTGATATTCTGACACAGTAGCTCCTATTCCTGGTACGTGGTATCCGCTGTGCTTAATTTTTAAATTTGATTTACAACCATTAATTTTATTTGATTCAGTGAACGCCTCGCTCTGCAAATTGTTTACAGAATCGAAAGAATGAGGTTTGTTATAATAATTTGATTCTGTGATAGTTCGTGAAGGATATGAAGCAAATGCAGATACATCAAACGATTTTGAAGTTTCTAACAAACTACCACGACCTTTTTCGAATCGCTGTTTTAGAATATCTGCACCTGTGTCTGGAAATATACCGCAAGATATTAAATATTTGTAACGCTAATTTAATACATATTATAATATGATATATATATATATATAACGTTTATTTAAAAAAAAAATTCGTGTCGAACAATGATAAATTGTAATAAATTACATTTTTAACGTGCAATACTGACCTATGATGTGGTCAATAGGTGAAATATGAGAACAATCCAATTTTGCCAAATATGTATACAGTCGACAAATAACATCCACTGGTAAATAATATCCATCGCTAGTCAAATACTTGCAAAATGCTTCACAGCAAAATATCATAGTATCCTTTAAAGACTAAAAATTATTTTTCCGTTAGTTTTTTATTCTTGTTCAGCGTAAATAATGAAATTGAACAAAATAACTTTTTTTTAAAATACAGTAATGAAGTATTGATGTATTAATGTACAGAATGATTGTTTAACTATAACTCGTACAATATCTTTAAAAATATAAAACGTTCATATTTCCAGAATTCAATCCCTTTTTATCCTATTTAATATAGTATCAACTTGAGTTTTTTATATGAAAACATAAATTTATGGAATTTATTAAACACTTTATTTTTGTAACTACAGATAAAGCGCCAGGTTTGTTAATTTTTATTCTGGGCATTTATGAACCGCAATACTTTTCTCAGCCTAGTATAAAAGTGCTAATACCTCTTACAATATTGGTTCAATAGTAGTTCTCAACAATGCTACATGATTCTATTCTAGACTTTTATTTATATAACTTTGTGACTTTTTAGTCACTATGAAATATAAATTAATTTAACATTTTTTTATTAATAACATTTTGATTCACATGTATTACTTGAATTAAAAGGAAATAACGTTTTATTACCTTTGACCAATGTCCAATTGTTATTCCAATAAATTCAATCATATCCACAGTATTTCCATCAAACTGACCTATTTTATAAATCTGATCTAATAAATTCATCTCCAAATTAAGGTCTGTCCACACTTCTTTTATTCTTTCTTTTGTATTTAATGTTGTACCTAACTGCATTAAAATTTATATACTGTACATTTATCAAAAATATTATAATATAATATATTATATCATATAGTATGTTTTAGCTCAATGAAGAAAGGTATTTTTAAAAATTTTGATTCTGAATCTTCAATTCAGATATTTCAGTTAATAACTACAATAGACACAACATTAGATTGGAATATACATATATATATATATATATACTTACTTGAAATACTAAAATTCTATATAATGTCCGATTTCGAGATATGTAACATTTATTATTCATTTGACTAACTTGTGGAAAATCCTCTACAGTTTTGAAATAATCTGCAGACCATCTTAAAATATCCTCGGGTTGAGACAATATTGCTGCTTTAACGTATTCTTTTAGTATATTTGGTAAAGTATCAGGTACTTCTACTGATGTCATTTTAATAAAATTATTTGTTATTTTTGATGTCTAATATTTCTACAACGTAGCAGTCTAATTTGCTTTGTTGTGGCGTTCGTTACTATGGTTTACAATCAATAAGAGATCAGAAGATCAGTGACAGAGTATAATATAGATAGTGGCGGAATTTTTGAAACATCAAAATAGTATATAGTTTTTCGAACTATCACTTGAAGAGTATAAATATTCATACCGACTACTAATGAATACTTTGTGGTGTCAAGTGGAATTTTTTTGGTTATGATTACCATACGTGATTGGAGAGGTGGAGAGTTTTAAGTAATTGGGATCAGTTGTGCAAAAGAGTGGTGATATTGACGAGGATGTAAGATATAGAATTAAGTGCGAAGGGTTGAAGTGGAGAGAAGCGTATGGCGTCTTATGCGATAAAAGAATTCCAATGAGGCTATTTAAAAAAAACCCAGCAGTGTCCCGGTACAGTGGGCATAATTGGGTCCAGTATATATGATAAATGACAGTGATTAAAATCATTATCATAAAAAACGCCTTGATGCAAGTCTGTAGATAGTGTTTGATTTTAAAATATTAATGGATTATTATAAAAGCTACGTGATCTCCTATTTCCTTTTTTATATCCAAATTACAAGTTATATGCATTATTAGTGCAAAGTATGTAATCGATGGAGGATTTCTCCTCTATAAAATTATTTGACAAATGTATTAAATAAAATTTTTTTCCATTTTTTTCTTCATTTTCCTTTTCTAAAATTTGATAGAATATATCTTCAACAAAAGTACAATCTTCTTAATCTTCAATTTTATTTTTATTAAATTTGTACGCCATTAACCTTTGCAATGTTCATATATAATAGAACATTTAAGTTTTTCGGCAGCCACAATTTTTACCAACTCCAGCGCTTGATCAAAAGCCAATACGCTTTATGACAATTATCTTTATCATTACCAGAAATTCCGATGGCAATTGACATAATATAAATGTTGTTTGGGAATGTACAATTTAGCGTTTGGTTGGGTTTAAACAATATAGCGTCAATTACCTACTCTATCGGTCGTATCTTAATATACACTACACTTTAATGATACTATAAATAAATAAACTCACAAATACACACATATGCATTTATAACATTGTGTCTAATGTAAGTATAACATGATAAAAAGTAATCGTAAAATGGAAAAAATGGAAAATAAATATTAGTACACATATTAAATGTAATGCAACTCGAAAAATATTTGTTTAAATGAAAAAATAGAAGATACTTTTTTTGTTTAAAATTGTCTTTTAAACAACTTTTGTACGAAACTCTTTTTTGTAAGTTAAATATTTTTTGTGAAAATTAAAAAAGCTCATATTTTTTAACTTTTGCAAGGCTGTATAAAAAAAGCTCAATTCCAATCGATGAGGACTTTTAATATGTCATTATACATATCTTAATTCAACTTTAAAAAAAAAAAAAATTGGTTGTGAATTTTTTCCTCAATTCGCCAAAATTACTCCTTTGTTGACTGGCCTATATATTGATATCATATATTTATTAAATGAGGATAGCCCAGTAAACAATATAAAAAATGTGAAGCAAATATGGATTATAATAATTTAATAGTCATTAAATACTTTATATTGAAGTACACATATGAATTTAACTTTTTATTATTTTGCTTCTATCATGTGTGTAACAAACTTAATGAAACAATAAAATTTTTTAGCAAACTATTGCGCTGGTACTTGTACGTAAATTATAATACATATGACCAAACTAATTAATATGACAATAAACGCTCCCATCATCTATTATAAAAGGTTTAAAGTTACACATAGATATGAACATAAACATAAACATAAAACTTTATAATCGCGTGACTGTGTAAAACTGACTTTCATTGAAACGAGACAACCAGGGGTTTACAATTCTTAAAGATTAATGATAAAGTTTTATTGATTTTTCAATTTAAATATTTGTAAACACATGGTATTTATATCAAATTAATTTTTACCTTTAAAATAAAGATTGATATATAATATCACCAGATCATATGGTTGTTATATTTATATCTCAAAACAATTTTTATGATGAAATTCAAATATAAATATATATATATATATATAAGTTTAAAACTTATAATTGAATTTTCATTTAGGTAGGTTTATAATATCATTGAATAAAACAATTTAAATCGTTGTAATTACATTTGATAAATTCTAAACATTTTTGGAAACCTTTAAGTTGGCGTGCTGTATTTGAAACGTGAAGCAACTAAAAATATTATAAAAATATTATCCTTTGCTTGTCATGCAAGTTGAATGCTACATCATTCCTTTTTGCCTACCAACAAACATACGAAATTGGTATAGAAATGACAAAAAGAAAAGGAGTTTAGACAATGTGTTAAATATTATTAAATATTTTTTATATAATTTTCACTCAACATTTTATCAAATGGAATAAAAAATGTAAGTAACAATGCTAAGATTAAATAACTAAATATAATTTAAATATTAAAAGTAGTTTTTACTTTATTCTAATTAAAATAGTAATAATTTAAAATAAATATTAGTAATATTTTTAGTGGTTTTATAATTATAAAATAAGAATTGATCGTTTGCGACTAAAATTATAATTTTAGTTAAATATTTTAAAATACATAAAATATTTCAATATTAAATAATATTTAAGTTTTATTATTGTTTATTTTAAATTTTATTTAAAATTTATTACTATTAGCTTATTATAACTAATATCCAATTATTAAGTTATCCTAAAATTATATTTATAAAAAAAGTTAGTTTGGTGTATCAAGTACCAGCAAATTGGAGATGAAGTATTTTTTAGATTAGTACTGAATTCATGATTAATCAACATTTTACGATAGTGATTAAAATCATTGTTATAAAATGTTTTGACGTGTATTTGAAACTAATTTAAAAGAATTTATCTTGAATATGATAGAGTGTTGAGGGTAAATCTTCATAACTGTGACGCCTTTAGAACCATCTAAATAATTTGTCATTTTTGATGTACAATTGAAAAAAATCAGTCCAGTAAGAGCTGATCAAATTGATCTACTGAAAAAAACATAGCAGAGTAAAACAAACTTTTCAGTTTCGTATTGTAGTTAAAACGACTGTAAATCTAATTTGACTTTCGCTTTTAAAACTAATGTTTGTATCTTTAGATTTTGTTATTTTAAAATGTCCGAAGGAAATGAAATTCCTCAAGATCCTAGACCGGAATTTTTCGGAAATTATATAATAAAAGCATTAAAAGTAAAAGCTGAAAAATGGTATAGATTAATGTTAACCGAAGATCAAGGATCTAAAGTTTATAATTTTTTAGATAATCCGGAATGTTTAGTCTTGATTATACTACAGGTAAAATTATTTAAAAAACATATAAATAATTTTATTTTAATTTATGAATGTAATTATTTTGTATTTTATTTTACTTTTCACTATGAAGTTAATTTAAATTATAATTATTTTTTTCGAAATTTTTTATTTTATTTTTATTAGAAAAAAAATGTTTATTAAATATACTTGTATAATCAATAATCAACAGAATATGGCTGCACAACTATTTGCAATGGATAATTTTCCTATTCCACTGAAAAGCAAAGCTATTTATTTTATAAAAACAAGTAAACTTGTTATACCAAAAGAAAATCCTAGTTCAGTAATTATAATAGGTGATTTAGCATGTAAACCTATTGAACAGTTGGCTACAATCGTAGACTATGTAAGTATTACTAATAAAAATTTTTAATTCTTAAAATCTTTAATAAAATTTACTCTTAGAATTTATTATTAGCTTTTAAAGATTTTACAAATTACTTAAGCGAATACAGAGTGATTGATTTATTATTAACTACATGATTACTCGATAAATAAATTAAATATTGGAAAAAACAATATTATTTCTTTTAGTTACATTTATTTCTTCTTTTATCAGCTAATAAGTTTTTAGAATCATTCCATATATTTAATTAGATTATTGTGTGTGTTTATTAAATTTACAATACAGAAAAACAAAATATTATTTGACCTTATAAAGTTGATATAATCTTTCCTTTTGCGGCCAATGTGTAGCTGTATAACTTAAACGAAACAACTTTCTTTTATCTATTATTAGATATGACCTCTCTAAGACACAACGTATAGAACGTCACGTAGACCTGCGCTGGCATCATAATAAAGAACAAAATTAACATAAAACGTAATTAGTCGAAAAATGTTTAAAATAAATAGAATTAATTGTAAAAGTGATGATTTTGAAAATCTGGTTTAAGAATAAGGATTGGAATTATATATTCTATATTTACAGGACTTTTTTGTATAAGAGTGGCTATATATTTTATGTTGTATTAGACCTAAATTACATATGTATTTAAACTAAAAATATAATTGTTTTAGTAGATTTTGATGTTATTTAGAGAGAGACGGTGTATTTGTCATTCAATGACAAATTTTGTCCTTCTATAAAAAATAATTGTTTACTTAATATTTATTTAAAGCAAAATAAAAATCATTTTTATATTGAGTAACTGTATATGTTTTCTGATTGGACAGCCATAAAACTGAGCTGACATTATTTATTCAAAATATAAAAATATTAAAACTATCTTTTGGTATGCTTTAACATTTCCTAAAAAAAATCATTTTGAAACAATATAGGATTTTTTAAGTAAAATAAAAACTGTAGACGCACGAATTAATCAAGCGTCAAATTTTAGTTTTCAAAAATATTGTTTGACAGCCGAAAAAACTGAATTGGCATTACTTATTATTGGTAATAAATGAAAAAAATTCATGTAACATTAATATAAATGATTGAAATATTAATATTATTGTAGCACAATTTCTGGGAATTTCATAATTAGAAAATTTTGAGTATTTATGAAAATTTTTTAAATTTTAAATAGTAGATTAGAGATCTATAATTTACTATTTTCTATCGTTATTTATTTTTAAATTTGATTTAAAAAAAATCTTAACGTATTTATATTTATATATATAGGTTATATATAATATAACACGTGCCACATTAATGGTCTATATATTGAGATTGTAATATTTTCTGAAATAATGGTTTAAACATTTTCTTAATTTATATTTTGTATTAAATAAGCTAATTATTTATGTTGCCATTAAAAAAATTAAGTTGATGTCCTTATAAGAATGGACCAAAAACTATTTGAAACTTAAAATAGCCAAAAAAATATTGGGTATTTTATTTTAATTTTGAAAGTAATTGAGCGAGCTATGTTAAAAGAATCATCATATATAAAAACTACAATATGAAATTTTATGTTTGTACTTTTTATTTTATAAAAAAGTATCATAAAGAAAAAATAACATGACTTTCTTATTTAAAACGTATTTTCTATTAAATACCAAGTAATATAAAATTATCAGGATAAGACTAGATTATCAATTTAGGAGTTTTATTTCCTCCTAAATATATGGAAGATAATTTTGAACAAGTGACCTTATTATCATCAGTGGTTCTACTTAAAATCCTTAAAAGGATTTTTAGGTTTATTATTTTTAGATTATATTTTGGCATGTTTTATCAAAAATGAATATTTTTTGTATCATCCTTTCCTTGCCTTTATCCCAACTACTTGGCCAACCTTATCCTAAACTTCCACAAAAAACGATTTTTTTGTATATTTCTATAACATCTTTTAAGGTTTTTTATGCTTATATTCATACTATTTTGAACTTATACATATAAAGATATATATAAAGCCAGACTTTAATTATGACTGATGAAAAAAATAATTGTCAATTTTATTATTTTTAAATAATAATAAAAACAATTTTATACAATTATTATATAAAATTTTAATTTCAAATAGAAATTTCCGGTGGTCGAATAAATTGTATGATACAATAGCACTAATTATTGTATACGTTTATGAAATAATACATTTATTAACATATAATATGTTACTTTAACCAATTATTTTTCAATGAAGTAATTTAATTTACTGGAAAATTATTCATTATTAATAACGCATTTTGTTCTCTGGTGTATTGTAGGTATTTATTTTAACCTATGTTTTCTATTATTTTTGAATATTTAAAAAACTCAATGAAGATCTAAAATTTTCAATCACATAATTATTTTATATGCTATGAGTTACATGGGATTTATTAATATGAATTATAATAAGATTATTTATTACGATTTGTATAATAATCAAAAAATTATAATTGTGAATTAATATACTAATCAAAGATGTGAAATTGTATATCCAAATTACTATTGGGCGTGTAGTAAAAATAACGTTGTTCTGTGATATTATAAAAATATTAAAAAAAAATTTCAGATTTTCGTGCCATTACTAGCAAATCAAGAAAATCATGTGAATTGGGCAAACGTTGTGTCTTTAGATGTTAAGGAACATGTACATAGTTTAAAAAGTACTGTATATCAGGTAAAAGGCCAAATCAATGGTCAAACCATTTTACCTATGCCTGTTGGAATTGAAAAATTAGATAACATTGAAAAGATGGTGAAAGATAGGTAAAATTTAAACATTTGTATAAAAGACTTATTTACTAAATGAGGAAATCGTCGCCTAAAAATGAAAATGTTCTTAACAAAATAATGCTTTTTTTAATAAACTATTTTTATAATCAAAATAATCATACAGCTGTGTTGTACTTTTTATTTAAGCTTACTCATTATTAAATGAACGCGATGATTTCATTTAAAATTAAAATTACACATAAATATTTTAATGCATTTATTTAAAAAAATAAAAATTCATCGTAATCTTTTTTATTTTGAAGCAATAAATACATTATTAATAAAAATACAACATTTTTGGGGGTATTTGAACAGCTTGTAAAAATGGTGTAGTTATGAAAATATTTTTCATTTGAATACTTTATATTTAATCAATTTAGTACAAACATCGACCAATGGTTCAATATCAATTAATATCCAAAATATTGTAATCAGCGATTGAAAACTTTTTATAATGTTATAATTATTAGACTAAAACACAATAAGCGATAAAATTGTAAAACGAAATTCATTACTATACCAATAAGTTTTAGATTACAAAACATTAAACAAAATAAAAGAAAAAATGTTAAAATAATACAAAACTTATTTATAACCATTTTAAAAATGTTATACTTGGATATAATTTAAGTAAACTTTTCTATCAAATTAAACTGATATATGAATGAAAATATAGTATAGATATTAAATGACAATAAGATATGTGTTCGAAATAATATTTATAAATCTTATATCTTTAAGATAAGTGAGAAGTTATAACTAAAAAATTATGACGTCCGCTTATTTTGTTATCAATATGTTTTGTGTAGTTTATAGCTTCGATGTAAATGAGACTCATCTAAATACTTTACTGTAAAAAAATTGTTGACCAATACGTTATAACTTTAATAATAAATATTAAAAACATTACCCCCCAAATTTGAAAAATAAAAATTACCCTAAAATTATATAATTATAAGTTTTTGGAGGACTATAAAATTTGAGGGAATTAAGCTACTAGCCTTTCTCCCTATTCGCACCTTTATCACTGTTCAGCTATTTTAAAAATAATATAATTATAAAATAGTTTACTCGGTAAAATTGTATATTTAGCAATGGAAAAATAGTTGATTTACATTTCAAATCTGCAGTGGAAGGCGTCATCATTAAATGGGCTACACAAATAACTGATGTTTTGAATGCAGATTCAGCTACTATATACAAGAACAATAAAAACTTAACACCATGGGCCGGTAATAAATAAAAATAATACATTTTCTTATTTAAATTATTTTAAACTATTAGGCCTAATCCAGTTATGTATACAGAGTGATTTTTTTATCATAACCCACTCAATTACTTACAGAATAAATATAGTTTAAACATTTTTTTTTTTTGGTTATCTTTAGTTACACATTATTCTTGAATTATTAAATATGTGATACTTTTTAAGTTCATCCCTTATGCCTGGTAATGGTGTCAACTGATGTTTTTTAACATAAATTAAACATAAATTTTTTAAAAAGTATCACATAGTTAGTAATTCAAAAAAATGTTTTACTTATATTTATTCTGCAAGTAATTGAGTGGATTATAATAAAATCCTGTTTTTCCTTGTAAAAAAATCTTAAATTTGTTTTCAACCGAGTACTCAAAAAGAGTATTTTCTTCCCATTTAGACATCATTTTAAACTTTAGTAAGTAACTTAAGTTTCTTATTTATAATAATAATTTGTTTGATTATTATATTTTATTTATATGATGTTCAATTTATTTAACAGTTTTTTTTTTTATTACTATAGTATCAGTCCTAAAAGATATTGGTTTTCTAGTATTTTTTACGTCGTCAGTATCTTTAGGAGCGTTGAAGTAATTAACAATTTCTTGATTTTCAATTTTACGCTGATTTCTTGATAATATACCCGTATCCTTGTCTAATTCTCTGGAATCAGGCCTGTTAACTACTAAATTTTGTTTTTTTGCACTTTTGATAAATTGTTTTTGAATGAACCGTTGAGCTTCGAATTCATAGCAAGCAATAGCGGTAGTCATGTTTTTTAAATCAAAATCATCCACGACCTTCATACACCAATTAAATTTATTGTCTAATTTATCAATAATTTGTAAACATTTTTCAACCATGGAAAGTTCAGCGTTGGATTTATTAATTAACAAGTGTTTACGGTTGGTGCCATTCAATGAATCTTGTGATTTGACTTTTGAGCAGGGATCAATTTTATTAACTAATTCATATAGTTCTTTTCTATAGTTTTTTACTGTTTTTTTCGCTAAATGAAAATTTCTTAATATTGGAACCTAAAATTAAATAAGTTTATAATATTTTAATTGATAAAATCGAATAAAAGTGAAAGAAGTTAATGTAATTTAATGAAGTAATTACAAATTCACTTTTTCTCGTAGATGATTACTTTATTTTGAAAAATTTTACCTTTAGTAATTTTCATTAGAATTAAAAAAAAAATAAACCTTACTTCTAAAAATATTTTTAAAATTACCACATTTAATTACATTTACTTTAATTTTATTATAAATCATTTTTTTATAGTTTTCTACACAGTTATTATTCCTTAATCTTGTATTTATGTTTGATTATATAAAATTCAAATAAAAAATATCTAAAAATTAGTGGCGTAAATTGGAGAAAGCGAGTAATGCGCTTTCATTTCATCCTGGAAAAATTCATTTAGTTTTCCCAGGATACTAAATTTTTATTTTTATTTTACTTGAACCGAATTTGGAAAGTTTATTATCTATATATATATTTATCGCATAGGGGCTAAATTTGTATACTTTAGCTACTGTCAAAAATATAAAGAATAAATCAAATCAAATCCAATTCTTATGAAAACATTTTACTTGAATTTTTTCAAATTTGGCTTCTAAGTTTTCCAAGCTAAAGATCATTTTATTAAATAATTTAATGTAATGACTTTCCAAATTTTCCAGCTCTCGAATTAATATAGTTTGTTCATACACGAGTGGTTGCAAAATGTTTTTATGTTTATCGAATTCAATTTCACTATTTGACAATAAATATACATTTTCTGGATATTGGTATACTTGAGATAATTTTTCAATCGCCATGGTCCACATTAAATATTTCAACGATGCTAAATTAACTAATCGTTCAAAACACGTTTTATTGAATTTAACATTTGCTAACATGTCATCCTTGTTATAAAATCCAAGTCGGGTCGACACATAGTCAACAGCTACTTGGTCTGTCGTGGGAAATTTAGTGTCAGTTGTTAAAAAATCATGGATATCATTTGGAAATTTATAATTAGAATTATTTTTAATGTGTTCTTGTATTTTATGTTCGTATTGTTCATTGACAAATCCCACCAGTCCGTCATTCAAAAACTTTTCATACCATTTATTACTATTATCAACTGCTTTGTTTTCTGGTTGTGCATCAAGGATTGATGGTATTTTTGAATATATTGTACTTTCAATGTCCGTTATTTTTGGTTCTTGTAACAATAGACTCCTACATGCGAAAACCATGTGTTACTTAACGATTGTCTAGAATCTGAAACAGACTACCTAAAATCAGATAACTACAGCGTTATAAAAGTATTTTTTACCTGTTATATTCTAGCAATTTTTCTTTCGATATTATTCTACTAATGTAAGCCGACTCTTTTTCAATTAGTTTGAGATTGTTTGTTTTGTATTTTTTATATAATTGAAAATAATTGCTCTCATCTTCTTTAAAAGTAGTGCCCGTTTCAATTATTTTTAAAGTTTCTATTGCTAAATTTTCGGCATCCTTTTCCAATTGATTAGTTAAATTATCATACATAATTAAGTTTTTTTTCAATATATTAACCATATTTTCTGTCTTCCGATTTGTCAACTCAACAGCCGCAATTCTTTTGTCGAAGTCTGCCATTTTTCCAATTATTTTTTCATTAACTGCAGAATCTTGTGTAAATATATTAGATTCATATTTTTTCAATTTATTTAGTTTTAATCTTTGAAGTTTATTTTTTCGTTTTATAATATTACATTCTCTGGTAATTTTTTGTATAGAATCCATTATGCTTAATTCTATTTCGTGTGGGGTTAAATATTTAAATCTTTGTAATAAAACGGGATGATCTGATAAACCAGTCAACATTAAGTCCTTGTTATCATTTTTTGCTAATTTAAGCGCATTCCGATAAATTTTGATATCTTGTTTTAATTTCGATGAATATTCATCTTTGGCGTTTGCCTCTATTGACAATGCTGCTATGCGTATAACTCTATCTGCTTCACTAACTTCAACGGCTTTTTTAATTAAGTCCCTTTTTATTACGTTATTCCATCTCTTGTCATTCATTTTTTTTACTCTACCAAAGTCGTCCATTATTTTCAGCAGATAAGTGCATTTAAGATTTAAAAAAATATATATAATTAAAATTGTTTATTAAAATTTAAAATTAAATTATTAGACTATTTTTTGTTACTAAAGTAACAAAACTTCAATTAATTTAGTATTGATTACATACTAGAACAAAAAAAAAGGCAATTAATACTACAAAAATAATTTAGTCGTGGCGTATTTAAGGCCCCCCCATAAATACTAAATACTTAAAGGACTAAGCTTTTCTTATTGGCCGTTCTAAAACAATATTTTAAATCGCTTGAAAAAAAAGTCTTTGAATTTTTTTTGGTATAGGCCCATAGGTAAATCCTGATTACTTCACTGAATTTAGCTAATTTAACGGTATCTTAACTCATAATTATTAATTTTAATAATTATAACATAATATTTTATTTTAATATCTATTAATGAAATTTTAATAACTTAAAAATATTTCAAATAATTTTTAAATATAATCTATTTCAAGATGAAAATAATACTGATTTACACATTTATAATTTGTATTATGTATGCATTTATATATTATGGAATGCGGACTACTGTTTTTAGAAATTGAATTTTGGAAGAACCGGGTAAAAAATTTAGAGTACATATACGAACAGTTACAAGAACAAAAAATAGTTAAAATGACCACAATCGTCCAAATATCAAATAGTGCGTACTACCCGTGTCTTAAAAATATTTACACAAATGTTACTTCAGGTTAGTTTTAAAAATATTTTAAATAAATTAAGTTTAGTAAATATTTAGTGATATTAAAAACAACAAATCATTGTTAATACAGATTAGGTATAATGATTTTTATCATTTTTAATCTATACATATTAATACTACTATTTGAAAATGTAGAACAACTTAAGTGGAGTATAAAAGATATAAATCAATATATTATAATAAAATACTTGATATTCTTTATTATGTATACATATATGCATTTTGAATCATGAGAGATTTAATTAATTGTTTAATTTAGCTTTAGAAGAAGCTAAGGACATAGTTCGTTACTTAAAACCATTAGAAAAACATTTCAAGTTATTAGAAGAGACCGATTTTGGAGACATAGCAGTGTGTTTAAAACCGTTGATGCATGTAGTTTGTTTAGTATGGTCAAACTCTCGATTTTATTGTAGTTCAAGTAAAATCATTATTCTTTTTAAAGAAATATGCAATCTATTGATTGTTCAGGTATGATTGTTTTACATGTTAAAGAATACAAATATTAAAATATTTGTTTTGTTTTAGGCAACGAGATATTTGGATCCTACTTCAATTTTCCAGAGTGATGTAGTAGAAACAAAATCTCGTGTTAGGCATTGTATTGTTATATTTGAAAAATACAGGTACATTTTATAATTTATAAGTGTTAATTAAGAAATTATTACTAAAAATATTAATTATTAATATGAATAATCTAATTATTTTTAGAGAAATATTCAATGATTTCCGTAAAAACTTACATACTTACTTTAATGGAAAATCGCCACTTCTATGGACATTTCATCCAAATATAGTTTTTAATCGTGCAGAATTATTCGTTAAACGATTGCAAATAATTGAAGTATTAAAAATAATATATTGAAATTACGATAAGTTTTAATACTTTATTAAATAAATAACTTTTAAGTGGTTTTTCGATACGGTCGTTGAATTTACCAAGTTGGAAAGAATTGAATTTAGTGGTTTAAAAGGAAGATTACTTAGTACTCGAATCTTGGATATATATTCTGATTTCAATGATCAATTCTCATTATTTGCTAGTAAATCTTATGATGTACTTGAACCAGAAGACGAAAAATTTATATTAGACTATGAAAAATTTAAAGAAAACATAAAAGATTTAGATCATAGACTTGCATTTACTTTAAGTCAAGCATTCGATGACTGTTATAATTTAGACAGCATTTTTAAGGTAATCTAAAAATAAGTATCGTCAAATGGGTTAACTTAGGGTAGAAAATTGTACAGATTTCATTGCTTAATTTTTCTGGACAAATAATTTTTGTTTCTTAACATTATTTATAAAAAATCTACTAGTGCTGTAGATAGATACAACTAAAATGATAAAATAATATTTAACTGTCTCAAGTTTAACCACCACCCCAAGCTGGCTCATTCGATGGTTTAAAATATGTGTTTATAATTTATCATTTTAATGCAATGCATGACAATTAACAAAATTATAGGGCAAACTTATAGAAGGCTAATAGATACAAAATCATCATTATTTAAAATGACTTATTAATTGTTAAAATATACACAATGATGAATTTTTCAAGTTGAATATAAAATTGAACTAAGTATGTTCTTCTTCTAAGTGACTTAGAATAAAAATAAATAAAGAGATGTTAAAAATTTTAATTGAATAAAATAGTAAAAATTGTTTACCCCCTACTGAAATTAATAATAGTTCTTAAATGTTTGGTACTTTTAAGAGTAAAAAAAAATAAAAATGTTTTGCTTTTGGAATAATCTACCAATTTTTTTAAATTAATCACTATCTACAGAATTGCATCGAAACCTCACTATCTTATGATAGTGATTTTAATCACTGTCAGATATTATCTATATTTATTTGAACTGTGCCACGTCCACACTGTGCCGTGACCCTATTGTGATACCGTTTATTTTTAGTTTAGATATTTCCTTTGAGGAAAATTTGATTTGGAAATCCTTTGTAATTAATCTAGCCTTTCAATTGAGTCTATCAAAAATATTACACTTAAGAACTAAAGTTGTATTATAATTTTTGGCATAGTAATAACGTTTTAGAATAAAATATTATTTAATTTTTATAAAATTTCATTTAGTTAATAGATATTGTGGGTGCTGTAATGGATCGAACACTAATTAAAGAAACCTTTACGCAAAGTTACAATAAAATATTATTTTTGATTTCCGATGAAGTTACTATTTGTGAGGTAAAATAAAATTACATTGTTAACTTATAATTAATTTAGCATAAATTTGTGTGATGTACAGAATTTATTTGTTACTCAAAAAGAAGCTATTGAAACCCAACGTATTTTTATTGTTGACAAACTTATGCCTCCAGTTGCGGGCTTTTTAAAATGGTCACATTCATTAAAAACCAGAGTTCAACATCCAGTGAATAGTTTTAAAAATCTAGACCATCCGTAATATTAGTTATAATATTGTTTTGAGTACTGAAAAATGTATTGTTTCTAAATTACTATATCAATTTTGATTTTGTAACAATACGCTTACATTGATATTAAATGTGTTATGGAATTTTTTGAGTTATTTATTGCTTATGAATTTTTGAATGATACAAATTAAGATTAAAAAACAAAGTTCATTGGAAACAACACGTTATTCAGTTTTTAATGAATTTGTAAAATACTTTTAAACATATTGTATTCATTTTTTAGAATAATTGAAAGTGAATGTGCGAAAAATATTTTGCAAAAGGTGGATTATCTTTTGATAGAAATAGAAAAACTCGAAGAATCATTAGTAGAAATTTGGAAATCTGATGTTCCAAGAAAGTGTCAGCAATTATTAGAATTACCATTGTTCAATCGTTCTGAAAATTTATATGAATTAAAATTAAATTTTCATCCAGAGGTATAAATAAAGAATGACAGTTAATTTATCACATAGGCCCAATTTATCTTGTAGATAAATTCATCACTGAAATTAAATTCTGTAAAAAAGTTTAATTTTAAGTTTATTTAAATTAAGTATTTTTAGTTAAGGGACTTAAGAGATCACTAGGATTTCAAAATTTGTTTATTAAAAAAAAAAAAAAATTCTTTTGTTTATCTCTTTAGCATGAGATATAACTATTTTTTTTAGCTTGTAGCGATTTTAAGAGAAGTCCACTATTTACGTGCAATAAAAATAAAAGAAATACCAGATGAGGCATTGAAACTTTACGAAAAAGAAAATGTATTTAGAATATATTGCATAAACTTGAACAATATTAAAGAGTGGTAAATAATACACGTTTTTAATAACAAAATATTAAAATTTTAGAATCTCAATTTTTAGCTATAATAAATTAAGAAATAATAGCAGAGAAATTGAATTTCAATTAGTAAGAAAAGAAATCGAAAATATTGATGAACTTATTAAAGAAGGAGAACAAACATTAAAATGGAATTCTGATTGCAATTGTAAGTATTGTCTTTAAATGTTTTTATAATATTTTTGTAAACAGTTAACATTTTTATAACTTTATATTGTCAGATCTTAACTCGTACATTGGGAAAGTACAAGATTTAGTGAACCAGTTATATCAACGAGTACAAAAAACACAAGAAAACGTTAAACGAATAAAATCAATTTTATTTTCTTGGGCAAAAACTCCGGTATTATACCGGAAAGATAACAAAAAAGATACTCTGTTAGCTATTGATGATCGAGATGAAAGAATTTTAAAAAGGTAGAGCAAAAATTAGTGTTTTAAACGAGGAATTGAAAACGTCATTTTTTAAAAAATTTTATTTCGTTCAGTTCATTGAATCGTTTTAACTATTCTTTAGTATTTTATTTTAACAAAAAAATTGATCAAGTAATTTTAAAATATTAATGTAACAATAACTTAGTAAAATTAGTTTTTAATTAAATGATAGTGTCTGGAACTATTACTTCGATTTGTTCCGACACAAAATAAAAATATCGTTCCAAAACCCTAGATGAATAAAAAATTAATTAAAATTTATGATATTTTTTAAATGTGTTTTAAAAATGGCTATATCTAAATATTATACCACAATAATCAAAACTGGTTGTTATACTAAGCAAAATGTAATTTTTGAAATAATAACGTTGTCAATTCCAGTTTTAAATAAATTTTAATTTCTAATGCTTACACCTTTTTTTTATTTAGATAAAAAAAAAATTGGTAATATTTTTTTAAAATATATTTCTAAATAATTAAAAATGTAACATTTTGAATTTATTAATGTAGAATGAAAAATAATGATTTATTTTTCCAAATATATTTATTTAAAATTCTATTAGGCGTAGAGAAATTGAAAAAGCTGCTATTGAAATACACAAATTACTACATGAAAACTGTACATTATTTTATATGCAAGATAAAACTAATTACAGTGAATGGCAATGTTATGTAGCTTTCGTTGACTCATTAGTTGCAGATGGGATGCTAAAAGCTGTGGGTTGTAGGTAAAGTACAAACTAATACATTTTTTTTTTATTAAAATGACTGTACAACATTTTTATTATTTTCATATTGTTTATTTAGCTTATGTTATATTGTTGAAAACATGATTCCCGAAATTACAACATTTCCTTTATTCGAGGCAACCTTAGAGCTACAAGATCCAGATTTAATGTTTATACCTTCTTTAGATCCATCAGAAGTTGGAAATTTTAAGAGTATGATACAAGAAATAATTAATGAAATAGTTGGACTAACTCAGCATATGCCTCGTATATTAAATTTAAGCAATTCAATAAATTATTTTGTAAGTTTTAAATTTAAAAAAATTGAGGTTGAAAAGAAAGCCTTTGTAAGATTAAAATTTAAGAGTACCGACAAAAAAGTAATATTAGTGTTCTAAAATAGGAAATAAAAAAATCCATTTAAAATTTAAAATTATTAAAAATAACTTTCTAGGATGAAATGACATTAAATCAAGATATTCATGAAATGAAAGAAGATATAATAAATGCAGTATCTCGAGTTATCGAAAAGGTTTGATAGTTATAAACTGTAGAATTATAGTTGAATTTTATTAATCAGTGTTTTTTGATAAAAACGTGTTGATGTAGGCTAATAATTACTGTCTTAATTTTGAAAACTATTCATATTTATGGTTGGATGATCGAGAATTGTATATGCAACATTTTTTAAAATATGGACATCCACTTTCAATGGAAGAATATGAAAATATGATGATTGATGATACTTATGCCCCTCCTATTGTTAACCCAACAATGAAACAATTTAAAGAACAAGTATTTTCTTTTGAGTATTATTTATTATTAGTTGTAGATTTTGTATAATAATAATGTGATATTAGATTGACAATTTTGAAAATGTATATTCTGAGATTGAACAATTAGAGTCAATTCAAGTGTTTGATTCGTGGTTTCAAGTTGATATGCGCCCTTTTAAACAAGAATTATTAAATACTGTGTGTAAATGGAGTTTAATGTTCAAACAACACTTGATGGATAATGTTACAAATAGGTAATGCAAAAAAAAAATTATACACATTTACTTTAGCCTAGAAATGTAACTTATGCTGTTGTGGATTTTTATAATTTGATATTTTGGTATAGATTTTGACTTAAATAGGCTTTGAAAACTATATATTTTAAATTTTATTTTGGATTTCAAATGTTTTTCAACTGTCTTTTTTTCTCGAAAGTGGTATTAGTTATTCGATTCGATTAGTTTACGATTCTTATACCTGACATATAATCTTACAATAGTCAATGTTAAATGTTATATTATATCAAACATTTTAGTAAATATCACTCTATTATGTATTCTTTGGATAATATCTTAAGTTGAACTCTTTTTATTATTACACGATTTATTAGAGATAAATATTAATATTTTTCTTTATTATATAAAAATGTCTAGTTTATTCGATTTGGCAAAATTTATACAAGATGCAGATGAAGGTCTTATGCAACCTGTAGTAGAAGGTAATTATGAGGCATTAGTCAGTATCATGGGTTATCTCTATAAGGTTAAAGAAAGGCAAGCTAATACAGAAGAAATGTTTCAACCATTGACTGAAACTATTCAATTACTAAAATATTATGATATGGAACTCTCGGAAGAAGTTAATGTTCTCTTACAGGTTTAAAAAATAAAACATACTCTAAGAACTTTAATTTACAAATAAATTTGTTATTTTTTAGGAACTTCCTGAGCTTTGGAATAATACATGTAAACTAGCTGTTAACATTAAGCAACAAGTAGCTCCACTACAAGCGATTGAAGTAAATAATATACGGCATAGAATTTCTTATTTTGATAGTCGCATAGCTTACTTTAGAGAAAACTTCAAAAAATCCAAAATCTTTAAGTAATATTACTTTCATTTATAAAATTATACCTTTGATTTTGTATGTAATAATTTTTCAGATATGATTGTTTGTATCCCTGTATATTGATGGATGAAATTAACGGAAAAATAGCAATGTACGAAGAGATCATGACTCATATTCAAAAGTCTGCGTCACTTTTTGAAGTTAATGTTCCCGAATTTAAATTACTCAAACAATGTAGAAAAGAACTAAAACTCTTAAAAGTAAATAATTATTTTATTATGTCACGTTATTTTAGATTACAAAACTATAAGGGACATAGTATGAGATATGTCCGTGCTGAGTGATAGAATTCTCGAAAAATCAACAAATCTGACTAAACCAATATATACATCCACGTCTATTATTATGAAAAAAATAATTGAACTTCATTAATTAATTTTAAATTGCAGTTCTCAAAGTTATCAACATTTCCTTATAGGAAATCAGGGACGTGCGCTAAAAAATTGACTAGGAGGAGCAAAAATTAGTGATGGGTATTTTCGAATATTTTAAAATATAGTTTTTTAGAACTATCGAATAACTAATCGAATTGTTTTTATACAACCAAATAGTTTATTTTTAGCATAAACTATCGAATAGTTTTAAAAACTATTCCCATCACAAACAAAAATGATTGACTGTAATTTAAGCCATAGAGACAATTTCTTAAACACTTGATTAAAGTAGTGCGGTCTCCCCTTAAACAACCTAATCTTTTACAGTTTATGGCACTTTTAGATGTATTATGAGCAACAAAAAAGTCATAAAAAAAAAATGTATTATAAACTTTTATTTGAATTTAAAAAATCTCCATCCAACTCTCCTTTGAAAAAAATGTTATATATTTGCCTACTACACTACTAGTTACAAATTAACATTCTCATTACAGAAAACTCTCTTACTAGAACATAAATAGCTTTATAATAAATATTAACTATTAATAATAAATCTAAAAATAAATAAACAATATATTTTACTTCCCCTATTTATGGATCCTTTAAAGTCGACCTGTCTCCCCCAAATAACGCTTTTGGTTTTTAAAATTATCTTAGTAACAGTTGTAGCAGAATTTATTTTACATTGACAAAAACTCAAATTCAAATTAAAAAATTAGTTGTAAGGATTGTATATTTTGTATTAGTTTTTTTAGGTTTGTTAAATTTCTTCCAAGTTGTACAAATTAACCCATCTTTTCTATATCAATAAAATTTATTATTAAAAATAAATATGTTTTCAGCAACTTTGGGATTATGTGCATTTAATACATTCATGCATTAACCATTGGAAAACAACTCCTTGGCGTAAGGTCGACGTTGAAAACATGGATATCGAGTGCAAAAAATTCGCTAAAGAAATACGAGGTCCGCTATTATTTCATCATTAATAAGTTCTCATTTATTATGTTAATAAATACTTTAATGAGTATTTTTTTATTAGCATTAGATAAAGAAATGCGGTCTTGGAATGCATACATTTGTTTAGAGGCAACTGTTAAAAATATGGTCACTTCTTTGAGAGCTGTGGGTGAGCTTCAAAATCCAGCAATTCGCGAACGTCATTGGGAACAACTTATGAGTTCTACAAAGGTATGCTTTTATAAAATTTTCAAATTATAACACGCTTTGTTAGTATTATTATAAATAATATGATCCTTCATATTTTGCCATTCAAATGTTTACAGAGTTTAGCTGATTTGGCCAAATCATTTGATGTGAGTAAAATTTTTAAAATGGTGCTTTATATTACATTTATTAAATTATTAGTATATTTGTACATATTAAAATTTCTTTGAGTAAATTTTGTAACTTGAATTAGTTTTGTCATAGTCTTAAAAATACATATGAATGCACATAGACACACTGTACCAGGCGCGGCTTTTTAAGGGAGGGCATGGTCCCAATCCCCCTCCTAGGACGTATAGTACTTATTATAATATAATACATCAACGTAAATTAATTTTTTTTTTGCTCAAAATCCACCTTAAAGAAAAATTGGACACATTAGACAAAAAAATAAAGCCACCCCTCTGTATTTGAGTAAATATTATGTGTTACTCATTAAGTATATTATTGTGTTTTTATACATACACTTTCATTAAACTATAGCTATTAAAGTTTCTACAATTCATTACTGGATTAATTATGTTAATAAAGATGATTGAGTTTTTTAGATTAAATTTGTTATGGACGACAAGACAACTTTAGCGGAATTATTGTCGCTAAATTTGCACGAGTGTGAAGATGATGTTAAAACAATTGTCGATAAAGCTGTAAAAGAAATGTCAATGGAAAAAATGTTACGCGAGTTACATACTACCTGGGCTTCTATGGAATTTAACCAAGAAACTCATGGCCGCACAGGATATAGTTTGCTGAGAGCAAGTGAAAAATTAATTGAAACATTGGAAGAAAATCAAGTACGTTTTTCTTCTTGTGTATTATGAAGTTTGAAATATGGAAAACATATTAAAATTTATATCAAAAAATTGTATTGTGCATAGTTTTGATAAAGAAATAAAGAGTAAACATAATTGAAGCAGTTACTATTATATTGAACAAAATATCACGTACATAATTCAGTAAATGATAAAATTAAACGATAAATTTAATCGTGTATCATTTAAAATCGGATGTCACTGATTTCTAGCATATGAAATTTCACTTTTGTTTCTTATAAAAATCTGTAAACCTAACAACTTCAAGGGCCTACATAACACATGTAATGAAATTACGTCGTTTACAATAAGTGCAACGGTTATCGAACTAAAGTCCTTGAGCTAATTTATAACTCTATAGAAATATCGTTATCGCATAATACACTATCTAATGTAAAACTTAACTATATTTTGTTCACGGACGAATTTTTTTTTATCAAAAAAATACGATATTTTATTTATAAAATATACTATTATAATAAATAAATTTGAATAAATTTTTCGGTTGTATTCATAAAAGATATGTGTAAACAAGTGTAAATATATGTAAATAACAGCTCTTCTTGAGTTTCAAAATATACTTAAATTTTTTTGCGTATAAATTTATACTTTTTGTCGTTAAAATTAAAAATCTAGTCGCAAAAATATCAAACAAAAAATTAGCATGAAAAATAATACGTAAAAATTAATTATCGAATAAAAAATGTTTAAATTGCATATTTGTAAATATAGTCTAATGACAGTAGCATATCCATAGGAGGAGCTAAAAAGACAAACATTTTTTAGGTGAATAATCATTACAAAAATAGGTTATTAAATTATTTTTTTTTGTGTGAGCTTCCTTCTTCTTTTACGTTGAAAAATGCCGGGTGCACCATTGTTTAATGTAATTTCAATTATATTATATGCGTTGTTTATATCAAGCCATAATATTATTTGTAACTTTATAATTAGAAAAATTTGACTGAAAAGATTTTCATTTATTTGACATAAATATTTAATTTTTGAAGAAAAAATTTATGGCATATGCCAAATCAAAATAATTAAACAATTTTGATAACTAAAATTTTCAATCATCTATAATATAAATATTTCAGTATTCTATAGTATAATTTTTGTAATAATTTAAAGGTTCAATTGCAAAATTTGATGACGTCGAAATTTGTAGCATTTTTTTTGGAAGAAGTTTCTAGCTGGCAACAAAAACTCAGTATAGCAGACCAAGTTATCAACTCTTGGTTTGAAGTACAAAGAACATGGATGCATTTAGAGTCAATATTTATGAGTTCTGATGACATTCGTAAACAGTTACCTGAAGACTCTGAAAGATTTTTTCGCATTGACTCCGAATTTAAAGTTGATTAAAAATACTTGGTTTTTTTCCTAAGAGATTTATTTATTTCAATTTTTTAGGAATTAATGACTAGCATGTCAAAAACACCAAAAGTTCTTGAAGCGACAAATAAATCGGGATTGCTCAAACATTTAGACGATTTGCATAATAATTTAACATTATGCGAAAAAGCTCTTGCAGAATACTTGGAAACAAAACGTCTTGCATTCCCTAGATTTTACTTTGTGTCTTCTGCGGATCTTTTGGACATACTTTCAAATGGAAATAATCCAGAATTAGTAGTAAGGTATTAAACTATAGTATTAGAAAATTAATTGTTCGAGATGAAATAAAATGAGAGGCCATTCAACCTATTGAAATTATACTACGATTTCCTTGAATTTTTTTGAGATATAACAGTTGGACCTGTGTTTAATTATGTCAAAATAAATATTTATAATATTTTATTGACGTGATAAGGAAAATAAATGTACTTAATAAAAAATAAATAAATAATAATTGTGTAACTACTCGCTATTGAATAAAATGGTTATCATTTGACTCGTTTAGTTTTGGTAGTGTGTCAATGAATGAACATTGAATTTTAAGCTTCATATAGTTGAATTGTGATATTAATTATAAAAAAATAATGTACAGTATGTTAGTTGAGGCACATTTAGATTCAATACTCATTATATTTATTATGGTGGACTTTATATTAATAAATTATAAATATCCATTAAATATTATCGATAATTTGTTACATTTGTAACATAATATGACTAAATTACTTAAAATTTATAAATATTAAATTATTTATATTAAAATGATTTAATATTTTTTAAATAGTATTAACTCTTTTTTTTAATAATCTTTAATATATTTGAAAATGTATATAAATGATTATAGGCACTTAATAAAATTGTTTGATTCTATTGCGTCGTTAAATTTTGTCGACTCTATAAATACAGAAAAGAAAGTAGCTATGGGTATGCTAGCTAAGGATGGTGAATACGTCAAGTTTAATGAAGATTGTGACTGTAATGGCCCAGTGAGTAAAATTTTATATATGTTGAGTATATCTAGTAGCAGAATAACTTTTATGTAATTTCGTGTTATATTCGTACATAGTCATGTAATTTTAGTGAGAAATTTAAAAATTAATTTCTTACCAAACAGGTAAAACTTTCATTAAAGTGAATAATGATTTTTTTCGTGACACATTTCCTTTGGGATTTAAATGATGTTTCATAATTTTTATAAACGTCATTCAATTATATTAGCTAAATATTATTTAAAAATTAGCCTAAACCCATATTGAGTAAAAAATAAATAATTTTGTTATTTTTAAATTGTGTGACGTAATAAAAAGTGTGTATGAGTGTAATTTAAAATATTAATAATGTATGATACTAGAAACATTACTAAAGAATTACAGTTTAAGATGAAATTTTACAGTTTATAATCAAATAATTGTAGTCATATTATTAAAATATCAAAAAACATGTTTGTAATTTTTTCATATGGACGCTTTAACTTACACATGAAAATAATAATCTTCTTTTGTAACAATTACTATATAAAAATACTATGTTTTTTAATATTCATAAATTATTATTATTTTGGTGATATAATACTACAGAAAAACATTTTTAAACATTTAAAATGTCAAACAATAAAAATTAATTAGTCCGTAATGAATGACCAGATGGCCTTGAAATTAGCCATCAAGGCTATGAGGGTAGCACATGGGTATACTCGTAATTAAACATTTGATACGAATACAAATAACGTACTTAGTATGCACTAGTGTTCAATAAAAAGTTTACGAAATTTATTAATAAATTTAATAAAAAAAAGATTATAAGAACCCATGATTTAAGAGGACAAGTATAAAATTATTTAGTTGTCATTTTTCTATATTATACTCAATATTACCTGATTTCATACAACCAGAATATATTTGATACGATCTTTAATTACAACATGTAATGTAAATGCCAAAACTATTTTTAAAAAGTTAATTAAGTAAAAATATCAATATATTCGATGCACATGAAAAGAAACAAGTGAAAGGTGTTAACTATTTAAACAGTTAACCACTTTCACTAGTAGTTTATTATATAGTATTTTTATAAATTAATAATTTAATATTTTGTTTAGTTGATAAAAACTGTATTAATAATTTCATCATTTACTTACACTACAAGTGAAAATTAGTCGTAAGAATGATATTTAGATGAGGGTTGTTAAAAAAAACTGTTTAAAATATAAGTTAACATTTCAAAAGTCTCACAAAAACATTTGAAATTTTTGATATTTAATATACGTTTAAACACGTAACAAATTTTTTTTGGAAGTGATTTAACGATGTAAACAAAATGTTAAAAACAGTAAAAATATGATTTCTCTTACGTCATTTCTATATGGTATAATTATTATTATGAATTTGGATATAATAGCTTGAATTTAAACTTGTATGCGTTTACATGATCATACTACTTATGTTACTTAAATGAATAGCAATGTGCCTTACAATGTTTAAACGGAACTCGATCCGTGATTGTCTAAATTTTATTATTAGAGTGAGTTCGAATTGAGTTATTATAAACTAAAGGAATTAATAAATAATTTAAAAGAAATGAATTCCGGGGCCTTTATTTTATATTTTATTATTTAATATATAAAATTATATATTATAAAAGAAAAATAAATTTGGTACATATTGGTATAGTTAAACATTCGATGTTTTTAAAAATTATTATAATAATCAATAATTGTTTATTTAAATCATATATAAATTATTTTTAGACAAACATGTTTTCTAAATATAGAAAGAGGATAAGTTCTTTTTTCAGAAAAAAACCTGAATAACTTTTTTACAATATTGTATAAGTTTTTGCATTTTTATACTAAAATTAAATCTATTAATTTAAAATATTTCATAAAATCTAGAAAAAATGTTTGAATTATGTTTAATGGATGAATATGTCACCTTTTTGCAAAAAATATTATTTCTAATTTTTTTGTTATATATTCAAAGGAAATACTATGATATAATGTAAAATATTTTTTTTAATTCGTAATTTTTTTAACAAACACAACATTTCTGTGCATTTGAATTTTTATTGAAACATATTATAAATTAAAAGAAGTTTTGCAATGAATTTTCAATAAAAATAGGTAGTGTATATATTGGAATTCAAATTGAACTTATAATTTTATTTTAGGTCGAAAAATGGCTCAACAGAGTACAAATATTAATGCGTCATACAATAAGACAGAACTTTTTCGAAAGTACAATATCTTATGAAGAAAAACCGAGAGAGCAATGGCTTTTTGATTATCCCGCTCAAGTATCCTTGTGTGGTACTCAAATTTGGTGGACAACTGAAGTTAACATTGCATTTTCTAGGCTAGAAGAAGGATATGAAAATGCATTAAAAGATTACCAAAGAAAACAGGTTGTTCTAAAATTTTTATTTATGAACTTACAAAAGAAATAAGCAATTATATTTCTTTATTATTTTGTTATTTAATAAGAAAGTTTCAAAAATATGTTATTTTTTTGTAAATTTCATTGAAATGAAATGAAAAGTAAAAACGGTTAATTTTAGTCTTTAAAACTAAAAATTAAAGATTTTTGTTCTATTATTAAATGAATGATTTTAATACCTAAATAAACGACAAAATCCAATATCAAAAAGTCCAAATCCGTTATTGAAAAAATAATAAATTCACAAAAATTCAAAACCTTACCCAAGAAAAACTTAAATTAAATGCTCTGACATAAAGTATTGAATCCATGAAAATAATTAAGTAAAAATTAAAAAAAAACCATTTTATACATTTACAACAATTGTAAGCTATAAAAAATCCAATATCATAATATTTTTTAATTGCTTAATTAAAAAATAAATAATATATATTAACAAGTTAAAAAAAGTAAGAATAGCAATATATTTTATTGATAACAAACGCCGGCTAAGAGTTTAGTTCTTAAACTGTAAATGGCAAATAAAATTATTGAATAACAACTAAATTATGTATAACAAGTTAAGACTTTTGCATATTGATATTGAATAAGTGACAATTGATTAAATTGTTATCTTAAAAATGAATTTTTTTTGCAGATTTCTCAGTTAAATACATTAATATCTTTATTATTGGGTGAATTATCTAAACAAGATAGACAAAAAGTTATGACAATTTGTACAATTGACGTTCATTCTAGAGACGTCGTTGCAAGGTTGATTCAATCTAAAATTGATAATGTACTAGCTTTTCAATGGCAATCTCAACTTCGACATAGGTTAAATTTAAAATTTGATTTTTCTTCTTAGTATAGAAAAATATTTTTATTTAATAATTAAACATTTTTTAAATGTCAATTAATCATCACAGATGGGACGAAAAAGAGAAGGATTGTTTTGCTAATATTTGCGATGCCCAATTTCGTTATAGTCACGAATATTTAGGAAATACGCCACGTTTAGTCATTACTCCTTTAACAGATAGATGTTACATAACACTGACACAGGTTAATCTTAAATTTTAATTTATATATTTTCTTTAATCCCATCCTACAATTAATGTAATATATTTTAGTCTCTACATCTGGTGATGGGCGGTGGGCCCGCAGGACCTGCTGGAACTGGAAAAACAGAAACAACTAAAGATTTGGGACGTGCATTAGGTGTCATGGTGTATGTATTTAACTGTTCAGAGCAAATGGACTATAAGGTAATATTTTTTTTATCTTCAAAATAATGTTACAAGTAAAATTATTATTTTTTAGTCCTGTGGAAATATTTATAAAGGGTTAGCACAAACAGGAGCATGGGGTTGTTTTGATGAATTTAATAGAATATCTGTAGAAGTATTGTCTGTAGTAGCCGTTCAAGTGAAGTCCATACAAGTAATTTTTTTTTTTTTTTAAATGATAAATGTATAAACTAATTATCTTATTTTAATATTTATATTAAGGATGCTATAAAAGAAAAGTCTTCAACATTCAATTTCATGGGAGAAGTCATTAGTTTAATTCCATCAGTTGGAATTTTTATTACAATGAACCCAGGATACGCTGGTCGAACTGAATTACCAGAAAATTTAAAAGCGTTATTTAGGTGATGACTGAAAATATAAAAATCTAGCACAGTGGGGACGTAGCATAGTTGGGTCCAGTATAAATAATATCTGACAGTAATTAAAATCACCATCATAAAAAACGCTTTGATGCATATCTGTAGATAGTGTTTAATTTTAAAAAATGATGGATTATTCCAGAAGTAACAAAATCTTCGATTTCTTTAGTTATATCCTGATTATAATTTTTATGATTTATAAGTGTAATATATAAATAAATATTTAGTATAGCAATTAAAAATAGTATGAATTTGATATTTAATAATTTAATATTGTAATTTTTTACAAAAATCGTATTTTTTATTAACTTTAATGTCCGTTTTCACCATGAAAATTATATAAAGTCCGAAATTTTTTTTTCTATAATAAAGTATATTACATAAGCTTTAATTTAAGATATATATAAAAGTGTCAGTGTTTCCGGAACACTTTAGACGACGGGATATGCGAAAATAAAAACACGTGGCTAGTGGAGAGTTACAAACAAACATACAGGTAAAACATTAGTTTATTAATATATAGGCGTATAAAAAATATAATTTTTACTCTGATGAAATTTTTTGCAGGCCATTTATTTATAATTAAAACAAATTATTATCTAAAAAGTTCTGTGTCAAGCCCTTCAATTTGTATACATGTTTGATATAAAAGTAATAATTACTTTATAATTTTTTATAAATTCTCCAAAAAAATTACAATACTAAATTATCAATATCAATTTCATACTACGTTAAATTGCTATAATAGATATTTATTCATAAATTATACTTATAAATCAACGATTAATTAAGATTAATGATAGAAATAGGAGTTAATTTTGCTTTTAGAATAATCAAACAATTTCTTAAAATTAAACACTATCTAAAAATTTGCATTGAAGCGATTTTTATGATGATGATTTTACTTACTGTCAGATATCATCTATACTGGACCCAACTATAGCACGTCACCACTGTGCCGCGACCCTCCTGTGCTTGATTTTTTTTTTTATTTAATAATCTAATAAATAATCTATTTAATTTTATTAAAAAATCAATAAAGTTGATGTAATTTTGTATAGTTTATAACAAAACAATTTATCCAATTAAAAGTTATGTGGATATGGTTCTTCCCAGTATTGACGATTCAGAGTTAAAAAAACTCGTATGGGTCTGATTATAAAAAAGTTTTAAACATTATTGCCGTTTTTATATAATGTGCGATAACCTCCATAATGTTTTTATGAATTAACGGGAGATATACCTTATGTTGGGCGTTCATCGTTTCCGCCAAATCTGATTAAGGTAGGTTTTTCGTTTCCACCAAACCGATAGTTTATACCTGTCTATAAATAGAAGCTTGAGAACCACTGGTTAAAATATATGCCAAAATAACCCGATAATAATTATCTACTATTCATTTAATCGAACTTTTTACTATTTTTTTATTGTTATTAGATAGCAGTGCATTGATAATTGTGAATCATTTCATTCATATATTAATGAACGATTTTTTAATATTTTTTAAATTTTAATAAAAAATATTTAGTCTTATAATTACATTAAAATATATAATTTTGATAATGCAGTCTCAAAAAGCGTACGGAATAAAATTGAAATCCATTTCAGAAAAACAAAAGAGACAAGTGATAAATTTAATAACAATGAAATTAGCCGATTTGAATTTGTGAAATTAGTTTTCAACAACTATCGAAAAAATTATAGATCATAGATCTATTTTTTATTATATTATTATTGGTATTAGATATTTTAAGCTTATTGTTAATGTTTGAATTTTTTTCAATGTTTTGATGACTTTTTATTTTCTTAGAAACTATATTTTTATTATTTATTACAAATATATTTATGCATATTTAAGATAATTATCTATTAGAATTTATTTACCTTACGTAAAACGTCATAATTTCTTTATAAAGTTATGCCTATGTGATAAAATAAATAATTATTCAAAACGACGTGACCATATTTAGAGGTGGTTAAGGGGGTCAAAAATTCTTGGGGCGAATATTATTTGATAGTGATGGGACAAAAATTACTTTATTTTGCTCATTAATATTAATGCCTCACGCAAAAATCTTAAATACAGGCCTAAACGTAATATTCAATAAAAGCCAAACAATTTGGTACTGGCAGCTACCTAACCTGACCATATGCTAAAACCGATACTGGATCGTCGTGGTGACCCATAGATAAAACTAAATGGTTCTCAAATTTTTTAGTAGATAGACAGGTAGAAAATTAGTTTGGCGGAAATGATTATCTCCCGTGACTCCAATTACCGAACTGATCTCTCATTTGGCAAATGAAGCCGTCCGTGACCGAGTTTCGAACCTGAGGCAGTGCGCGTCTAACACTGTCGCGTTACCGACTATATTAAAAATAAAGAAAAAGATATAAGGCATTGAAGAAATCTATCATTAACAAAACAATACTCATTTCTAAAGATACTTTTAAGAAAATTGGTATAGTAAAATGAATAAATCAAAATAATTTCTTTTTTGTATTGAAACCTTAGATATTTTCCTTATATTTGATATCAAAAATCTAACACTTAACCTGCTTACAGGGGAGTGTTCAAAATAGAATCTTTTTTACAAAAGTCAACTTTTTCAACTTAACTCTTGAAAATGTTCCAGAAATACTGCGCTTTTTAAGAATATATCAAATTAAAGCTTATATTATATACTATTATATATATATGTTATAAGGAAAAAAATTATTCTGACGACTTATCTTCTATGTGCAATGTGCTGTCGTAGTTAAAAAAAAAACTATATTTGTGTTAAAATTGTCAAGTTTAAATAGCTCTAACTTTTTGAAAAATGTATAAATCAACACAATTTTTTGTTTCTGAACACATTATATATACCTCTTTCATCCGACACACTTGTTATTCAATTGGGTAATTTGCCCTTATACAGAGGCGTCCAAAACTTGAAATATACGTATAAAAAGTAGGACTTTTTCAACTTAAGTTTTGTAAATGTTCCTGGAATACTGCATTTTTTTTTTTGATAATTTCATACTTACATTTCAATTCACGTTTACTATAGATTTAACAAAATTTACAAACACATGATAATTTTTTAAAAAATTTATGGCAGTTTTGAATAAAAAAAATTGAAAAAATGTCAAAAATTGGCGATTTTTAAAGTTGTAATTTTTTTGGAGATTTCCCCCATTTACGGGGAACGTGGGAAATTTTTTTCAATAATTGAGGGTAATTTCTTTGACTAGATACGATTTATGATCTTTTGACGTATCTTTGAGGGAAATCGGTTTGGTGATATCTAAGAAATAGTGGTAACAGACACAAAAAAAAAAACATATCATACTAAAATTGATACCTTCTCAACTTCGTATCGCAGCTAAAAGTACTATAATTTGTATTATTATTAATATGATCCTATTTTAGACCATGTGCGATGGTAGTACCAGATTTCGAATTGATTTGTGAGATAATGCTTGTAGCAGAAGGATTTCAGGAAGCAAAAATTTTAGCTCGAAAATTCATTACATTGTATACTCTGTGTAAAGAGTTACTATCCAAACAAGATCATTACGATTGGGGATTACGAGCTATTAAATCAGTCTTAGTAGTTGCTGGTTCTTTAAAGGTACTCTCATATTAAATAAGGATTCAAATAATTAATCAACTCAAACTTACTCATGATTTTTCTAATAAATTCTTTCATTTTTTAAAACTTTGAAACAATAAAATATTAGTTATTTATTATATTAAAATACATAAAATGTTAAAAGTATATATTATTTGAACAATTGATAATATAAAGATGTTAATAAATATTTAAAAAATTGTCTGAAATTTTAAAAGAATATTTTTAAAAAGTAATTTTACATAATACTTGCAATTGAATGTTAACTATAGTAATTAATATACGGGTGTGTTCATAAAATAACGGGAATTGTTTAAATTCGCAGGTTTGGAGAATCCATTTATTAAAAAAAAATTTTTTATAATGTCCGTACTCATGTTCTTGAAGTATGATAAAATTTTCAACTGGATTCATTTTTTACTTTGTCAGTGGCATCCGCTAAGATTAGACGTGTTTTTATGAGCTCGATGATTTTCGTTTGTTAAAAAATATGGATCAAAGAAGTTGCGTCAAATTTTTTGTAAAAATGAAATTAAGCGTAACAAAGTGTGTGAAATTTTAACAAAGGTTTATGGTGAGTTTGCTATGACTAAAACAAGAGTTTGCGAGTGATATAAGCGTTTCCAAGATGGTCGTGAAGACGTTGTAGATAACGAACGCCCCAGCACATCAACAACTGATGATAACGTGGAAAAAGTGAAAGAAATGGTTATGAAAGATCTATATCTTTCAAATAAATATAAACTGTGTTCTTAATTTTAATGGCATAGTGCATCATAAATTCTTGTCACGAAATCAAACGATAAATAAAGAGTATTATCTACAAGTTCAACGCCATTTGCGTAAAGCAATCTGAAAAAACCCCTAGATTTGTGGCAAACACATTTCATAGCTTTTGCACCAAAATAATGCACCTGTTAATACTTCATTGTTTGTTCGTGAATTTTTGCCCTAAAACAATACTGTAACAATGCCCCAGCATCCATATTCGCCAGAAGTGGTTCTATCTGACTTTTTTTATTTCCGAAAATAAAGAGAACATTAAAGGGTTGTCCCAAAAATCGAGCTTGAGAGATGTTTTAAGGATTGAAAGAATCGTTGGCATAAGTGCGTAATATCTAATGGATACTTTATCGAAGTCGAAAACATTAATGTAGACGAATAAATAAATATTTTTTTTAAAAAATGAAAATTTCCGCCATTTTCTGAATACACTTTGTACATAGTTTGTTCATAAAAGAACGCGACTAATCTTAAAATTAGGCTTTTTATTTTTGAGAGATATAATCAGAATTATTTTTGTATTTCTATAAATACTAATAAATTTTATTCCAATATATTTTATTATTTCATCCTATTATGTATTTTATGTACATAAAATAACTTACTTCAGTATATAAAAATAAAATAAACGGATACGAAAAGATATTAATCTACAAATATCCTTTAATTATAGGATAGAAAACATTCAAAATTAATGAATATACTAATTTTTTTTAAAATTTCAAATATTTTAATGCAACACATTAAATAATTCATTATAGAGGGGAGATCCAGGACGAATAGAAGAAGAAGTATTGATGAGAGCTTTAAGAGATTTTAATATACCAAAAATTATAAGTGATGATGTACCAGTGTTTATGGGGTTGATTGGCGATTTATTTCCTTCAATGGATGTGCCCCGTAAAAGGGATCAAGATTTTGAAAAAACTGTAAAACAAGCAGCTGTTGATTTATTGTTACAACCTGAAGAAAACTTTATATTAAAAGTAATATGTTAAAATATTTGTATTAGGGAAATAGATTAATAGTTTAACCTGATATGATAACAGGTAGTACAATTAGAGGAGCTTTTAGAAGTCCGGCATTCAGTTTTTATCGTAGGTAATGCCGGTACCGGTAAAACAAAAGTGTGGAAAACTTTATTTAAAACCTACCAAAATATTAAACGAAAGCCTATTTATAATGATCTAAATCCGAAAGCTGTGACCAATGACGAATTATTCGGAGTTATTAATCCCGCTACACGAGAATGGAAAGATGGTAATACATGACATTAACATAAGTATTATACATTATAAGCTTATAAGATATTACAAAAATTATCTCAAAACTATTTGTACTGTTATAAAAAATTTTCTGAAACTTAAAAATAAGCAGTATTTTTTTAAAATAAACTAATTGAAACTTGATCTTCACGATTTGTTGATTGACACTTTTTGTGTGTAGGTTTATTCTCTGTAATTATGAGAGAGCAAGCAAATTACCCAAATACATGTCCAAAATGGATTATCTTAGATGGAGATATCGATCCAATGTGGATAGAATCTTTGAATACAGTTATGGATGATAATAAGGTTTGTCATATTAATTTTTAAATATAATATTAAAAAATAAAAAATTCAATATTTATGACCTTAGATACTTACACTAGCTAGCAATGAACGTATAGCTTTAACTACTTCAATGAGACTTATTTTCGAAATATCTAATCTACGAACGGCAACTCCAGCAACTGTATCACGAGCAGGAATATTATACATAAATCCTCAAGATTTAGGATGGAATCCGTAAATTAAACTAAGTTATGTGTCAAGTAACCATTATAACTAAATGAAATTTCAGGTATGTTACAAGTTGGATTGAAACAAGAGAGAATGCGGTAGAAAAAAGTAATTTAGTTATCTTGTTTGATAAATATATTCCATCTTGTTTGGAAAATATTCGAAACAGATTCAAAAAAATTATACCAATAGCTGAGATGTCTCATATACAAATGTTGTGCTATTTATTAGAATGTATTTTGGTACCTTCAAATACACCTATTGATTGCCCTAAAGAATGGTATGAATTATATTTCACATTTGCTTGCATATGGTCATTTGGATCAGCAATATACCAAGAACAAGTTATAATCTAAAATTTTTTTATTTATACAGTGTTATTAAGAATACTATCTTCAATTTTTTCTTAAAATAATGATTTTTTGTACAGATTTAAATTTGATATACTTTTATGAAATATCAAGTTGATTGTAAAAAAACTATTTCTATGGGTAGTTTGAGAAATAATTTTTAAATAGGAACATATAATATTTATATATTATTATTAAACCATTTATTCGAGAATAGATTGAATTAATCTTTGATTGTAGTTAAAATCGTGTATTTGAAGTATTTTATCATTGTTTTACAAAGATTGAAATAAAAAGTTTTAATTTAAAAAAACAGGATAGGTAGTTAAAAGTAGAATTTAATATGAATAAAATTTAAATTTGAATTTAGGATCACACCTGTTATCATGTGTGTTAGATAGTCAGAACTAGCGATTTTAGCTATAGGTCTCAAGAAATGTATATTATGCATAAAAACGTGAGGGGTGCGTAACGTAAAAGTATTTTTACTCTTGCCTTATAAATAAAAAACGTTGCTAAACACTACCCCACTCCTTACCTTTTCGAAATATTTAAATATAATATTTTGAAAAGTAATATCACAAAATATATTATATATTAGTCAAAATTATATTTAATTCAAATTTTAAAAAATTATCCCTAAGACACTTAAAAATAGTTTTTTACAATAAACTTGATAACTATCAAGGAATATATAAAATTTTATTCAATACATTTTCGTGATTAAATCATTTGTTAACAAGAAATTGGCTTAGTATTCATAATAAATCCTGCTGTATATATAATTATATAAATTTTTTTATAGAATTTTATTTAAGAAATTCAAATAATTTTTTTGTAGGTGATTGACTATAAAGTAGAATTTTCTAAATGGTGGGTTGCTGAATTTAAAACAATAAAATATCCTTCCGTAGGTACAGTTTTTGATTATTTTATTGATACGGAAACCAAAGAGTTTTTACCATGGTCAGATATCATTCCTAAGTTTGAATTGGACCCAGATATGCCATTACAAGTAAAACTTAATAATTTTAACATTGAATTGCATTTTTTTATTAATCATCTTTTATTGATAGAATGCATTGGTACACACGCCAGAATCAATCAGAACTCGGTATTTTGTTGATTTACTAATGGATTATAAGCATCCAGTAATGTTGGTTGGAAGTTCAGGATGTGGTAAAACAGTGTTAATTACGGAAAAATTAACTAGTCTTTCAGATAGCTACACTATAGCAAATATACCTTTTAATTATTACACGACTTCAGGTTTGTATATTCCATTACACAGCACTTAATTTAATTTAAAAATTTTATTAATCGGGGAAAAATAAAAATAAAGAAATGCTACAAAAGATACTAGAAAAACCATTGGAGAAAAAAGCTGGTAGAAATTATGGACCACCCGGAAATAAAACCTTAGTTTATTTTTTAGATGATATGAACATGCCTGAGGTAATTGCTTAATTAATTTTCATTGAATTATATTATAAAACCTATTTAATTATTTAATAGAACCTAACAAGGGTAAAATAAACACAATAAAAAATACACAAACATTTATTTAATTGTTAAATTGACACAGTTTAAGATTGATCAAATTATTATTACAAAAATTGAAATTTATTATGGTATTACAAGCCTCGTGTCTGCTGGTAGTGGGGATGCGACTTTAAATATTTGTCAAATTAAATATAATAAAGTAATAAAGAGTAATATGTGAATAAATATATATGTATAATGTATAAATATTTAAAGGGAAATGGTTTTATTTAAAAAAAATGTATGTCGAATGAAAGAAGTAAATAAATAATATTTATCATAAAATAATTGCATTGATCCATATATTTTTCAAAAAGCTCTAGCATTTTAAAATTAAAAATATAAAAAAAAATTTTTTTACAAAATCTTATTAGCTGCGATGCGAAGCTGAGAAGGTATCAATTTTAGTATGATATGGTTTTTTTTTTGTGTCTGTTACCACTTTTTCTCAGATCTCACCGAACCGATTTCTTTCAAAGAAACGTCAAAAGATCACAAATCGTATCTAGTCAAAGACATTATCCTCAAAAAAATTTCCCTCGTTCCCCGTAAATTAAAAAAATTACAAATTTAAAAATTGCTAAATTTTGACAATTTTTCAATTTTTTTTACTTAAAATTGTCATAAAAATAACCAAATCAATATAATTTTTTTTATAAATACATGATGTCTTTACCTTTCATTTAGTATATTTTTTCTATAAATTTGATTCTTTACCTGGCCACAGGGGGAATTGAAAATGACAACTTTATCATAAAAAATTAACTTTTTAAAGTGTTCCGGTTGGGTTTTTTTATATATTTTAAATTAAAAATAATGTAATATACTTTATTATGGAAAAAAAAAAATGTTGGACATTATTTTGTCTTTACGGTAAAAATGGCTACCAAATGCTATTTTTGTGTGCAAATTTTCGATTTTATATTTTACATTTTTATCTTTATAATACTTTAACTTATTGAAAAGTGTATGGATCAACACAATTTTTTTATGCTAAATCATATTTATATCCCTCTTTGATTTGACATACTTTATCTTAAACAGGATATAAATAAGGAAATAGGAGATCAAGTAGCTTTTGGAATAGTCCATCAATTTTTTAAAATTAAATATTATCTAAAGATTTGAATCGAAGCGTTTTTTATCATAGTGATTTTAATCACTGTCAGATATCATTATACTTGACCCAACTATACCTTGTCACTACTGTGCCACAACCCCCCTGTGCTGGGGTTTTTTTTTATTAACTTTGACGAAATCCAACCAGAAAATTTATAAGCGTTATTTAGGTGATGACTAAAAATATAAAAACCTAACACAGTGGGGACGTAGCATACTTGGGTCCAGTATAGATGATATCTGACAGTAATTAAAATCAATACCATAAAAAACGCTTCGATGCAAATCTGTAGATAGTGTTTAATTTTAAAAATTGGTGGATTATTCCAAAAGCAACAAGATTTCCTGTTTCCTTATTTATATCCTGATATATATCCAATTTTTATGAATTATAAGTGTAATATATGAATAAATATTTAGTATAGCCAGTGGCGTAGATACGATTATTTTCTGGAGGGGTTTATTTCATATTAAATTTTTGACTAATTAATATTTAAAGATGTATTTTTTTATTTAAAATTAATTAAATATACATTTTATACAAATAAACATACATTTTTTAAAAAGTTATTGTATTTTAAAATAAAAAATGTAAAATATTACGTTTATATCAGTAAGTTTCAACTTTAAGTAATCATAATAAGAATGCAAGCGAAAAATAAATATAGGTAATTAAATATAGTAATTAATATTACTGGAAATGCCAAATTACTAAAAAAAGTAGATAGATGTATTAATATTATAAATTGAATATGTTTAACTATAAAACTCTATTTTTAAGTGGTTGCTGTAGTCTTGGCAAGTACACCAGTAGTGGGAATCCGCCTTTAAACTAATTTTTTACCGTATTGACAATGCTGCCGGTCGTCCAAACATTGCTCGTGTGTGAATGTGTAACAGCATATACTGAGGGAAACAAGTTTAATATTCGCACATGACAAATGTATTATAACTATTTTATTCTTTAAAAATTGGAATTTTTAATAAAAATGTAAATTTAAGAATATACAATTAATTTTCTTCTTTTATTTAATTTTAATACGGGGTACGATTGTCCTGTCGTCTAAACCAAGAGTTGCCACTGATTACAGAATGTTAATATTTAATTTAAACAACTATTTTTTTTTTAATAGTTGACGATCTTTAATGGAAACAAGTTAAGTGGAAAAGAGAAACGGGGAGTTCCAATAAATTTTTTTAATATACAATTTTAAATATAAATAATATATTAGACTATAATCTTTAAGGCAATGACAACAATCTGCATTGATTCGCAAGTTTATTCAACGGGAGTATTTGTAAAAATTTTTCTTAATAATATCATATTAATAACTTGTTTTTGTATTCTATCTAAATTCATTGATAGCTCAACTTGCATTAGATTTCATATTACTGTTCAATAATTAAGATCTAGAACTTTCAAAGTTTTATTATATATTATATAATAGAGCTTTGTAAATATAATATTACTATATTTACTTGTACATTTATGTTTTCTACTTCAAGTAAAAGATATTTTAAAACATTGGAAAATATTCAATGACAACCCCTTAATTACGCACTATACATGTAGTCTATTCTAATTCTTTTTAATATCTGCACGGACTATTAAACTTAAAACTGGAGCATACACTTTCATATCACTAGGAATAACAAATATTTAGTAAACTTAAATACTTTAACAACATCGTTTAAAAGCAGTAAAAATAGTAGAGAAGTTAAATCTTTGAGGTTCACCAAAAGTGACCTTAAAGAGTTTAAATAGAAGTTAAATTATTTTCACTTGTTGTGAACGACCTATCATAAATAATAACAGTAAGTTCAAGATAGAATCCCTAAAATTTAAAGATTTTAAATTGTGTCCTAAATCATATGGTATACTGAGTTGAATTTTTAATAAAAAAGATATATAATAAAGCTATTTTTATTTTATTTCAATAGTGTTGATAATTGAAATTTTATATAATTTATTAAAATTGTAGGTGGATTCATATGGTACGGTACAACCACACACTTTAATACGACAACATTTAGATTATGGACATTGGTACGACCGAACTAAATTAACTTTAAAAGATATTCATAACTGCCAATATGTATCTTGTATGAATCCGACCGCTGGCAGTTTTACAATTAATCCTCGACTTCAACGTCATTTTTGTGTAATAGCAGTGAGGTATAATTTTGTATATTTTTACTATATATAACAAAAATATTATTCTAACTAAATTAAAGAATCGCAAATAGCAGTATATGAGATATTTTTAACTAGGTCTGGAAACCAAAATCAACCGAGAATCCCAATACTATAGACATACTCTATTAAACAAAAAATCTATATGATAAATTAGTTTAAAACCACTCAGAAAAACCCAATCAATCAGATTGAAATTTTATGAAAAAAATATCAAATTCTTCTAAATTTTACGTATTGTAAAATAGGGCTTCTTTCCATCTTAAATATACCATTGTGACATAAAATAAGTGCTTAATACAAGGACGTCATATAGGGAGGGTCAGGGTGTGCAACCGCACCCCTTACTTTACAAACAGTCCCAATCGGCCTGCATTAATAATGCACCAATTTTTTATACATCCATTCAAATTTCAAAAATATTGTATTATCATGGTTCAATAAACAAATATTTTGGTAACAATTAATTGAGTAAACAATAAATATATCATACTGAACTATTTATATTCGTACCGGACGCAAGATATTGATGTTGATGTTCGTAACAGTTTTAGCTTCAATGCGAATCTGAGAAAGTATTAATTTTACTGTGAGGTATTTATTTATTTATTATTTTTGTGTCTGTCACTACTTTTTCTCAGCTCTCACTGGACCGATTTTTCCCAACTATACGTCAAATGATCACAAATCGTATTTAGTTAAAGATGTTATTCTCAAAATTAAAAAATTTTCCTTCGTTTCCCATAAATGGTGAAAATCGATCAAAAAATTATGATTTTTAAAATCGATAAATTTTAATATTTTTTCTAAAATTTGCCATAACTTATTGAAATATGAACGAATCAAAATAATTTTTTTTTTTGTATTGAAACCTTAGATATTTACCTTTCATTCGATATCTTTTTTTTGGAAATCTAACACTTAACCTACTCACAGGGGAGTGTTCAAAATAGTAACTTTTTTACAAAACTCATCTTTTTCAACTTCACTTTTGAAAATATTCTAGAAATACTGCGTCCTTTAAATATATGGTAAATTAAAGCTTACATTATGTATTATTAGATAAAAACAAAAAATTGTCTCAACAACCTAATTTTTATATGCCAATGACCGTCAAAATTGAACAAAAAACATAATTTTCGTATATAAAATCAATGTTATTTTGGTACTTAAAACTGCCATAACTTGAAAAATGAGCAAACCAAAATAATTTTTTTTATATAAATACCTTAAGTATTTCCTTTTCATTTGATATCAAATTTATAATAATCTGACACTTTACTTGCCCACAAAGGAGGGATCAAAATAGCAACTTTTTTACAATATTCAACTTTTCAACTTAAGTTTTAAAAATGTTCTGAAAATACTGGACCCTTATAACGTATGTCAAATTAAACTTATGTTACGTACTAAAAATTAAAAAAAAAAATTGTCCCGACGACTTATCTTCTTTATGCAAATGGCTGCCGTAGTCAAAATACATGTTATTTTGTGTTCAAATTTTATTTATTTTTGTTTATTTTAAAATACCTTATAAAGGATTGCATTAATAATGTGTCCAACAATTTTTATGAAAGTTGCACAAATCCAACTAACATTTAATATAAATATTCTTCTTCTTTTTCTTTGCCTTAATCCCAACTACTGGGAGTCGGTCATCTATACATCATCTATACTCACATCAGCGGTGCTCATATCACATTCATTTTCCACACTCCTGTATGTCTCCTTTACCTTTAAATATCGGGACCACAGTACTATTCCTCCATACATTTGGAATTTTCCCTTCTAATAAGATTTCATTAAAAAGATCCTTCAAACATCTTATGCTAACATCGCCTAATATTTTCCATACTCGCACTTCATCTGGTCCTACTGCTCTATTCTTTTTCATTGATGCCACAGTTCCCCATACCTCTTTCTCACTAATTAAATATACTAGTCCCTCATTCCACAATAAATATAAATATAAACTTATTTTGATTATTTAACCTCCTCAAAGTTAAGAAAAGTGACTTTGAATTTTTGAAAATTTGTCTAAGAATAAGAACTTTTTCAACTTAACTTTTGAAAATATTCCGGTAACACTGCGTTTTTTAAATATATATTAAAATAAAGCTTATTTTATGTACTAGAAGTTAAAAAAAAAAATTGCAACGACGACCTATTTTTTATGCGCAAATGGCAGTCAATATAGAACAAAAAATAGGAGTTTATTTTGCTTTGGAAAAATCTATTAAGATTATTTCTTATATTCTTATCTTTTTATCTTTCTTAGAATTAAATACTATCTACAGATTTGCATTTAGGATCAGTATTTTACAGATTTTTGGCGTTTTTTCTATGAAGCATCAATCATAACCAGTCTAATTTTTTAAAGAGATACCAATGCTACCTTTTGTTGCTTTTATGCATATGCCTATAAAATAAATGGATGAAAAAAAAAATTAATTTATAAACGGTTAGTTTTCCAGGAACAGAATCATTAACTATTATTTATTCATCAATATTGAATCAGCATTTTGGAAATGTAGAAAATCGAATTCCACAAATAGTATCAAAATTAGCTGATAATGTTATAGAAGCAACTATCTGGCTTCACAACAAAACTAATTCATTTTTCCTTCCAACTGCCACCAAATTTCACTATATTTTCAATCTTAGAGATTTATCAAACATTTTTCAAGTATTTGTTAATATTTATTCTATAACATTGTTACGAATACTTAATAATTTAAATGTTGTACTACAGGGTTTAGTTTTTAGTACTGGTGAATGTCTTTCTTGCCCCGCGGACTTAATGCGTTTATGGATGCATGAATGTCAAAGAGTGTACTCCGACAAATTGGTAGATGAAAAAGATTCTGATGCATTCAGTAAAATGCAAACTGATGCATTAAAAAAGTTTTTTGATGTATCTTACTAACTTTAAACCATTATTAATAATTTTCAAATGCATCGTAAAAGAATAATGATTACAGGAAATAGACGAATGTGCAGTTTTTGAAAAACCAAATATTTACTGCCATTTTGCTCAAGGTATTGGTGAGCCTAAGTATGCTCCTGTTAAGAGTTGGTCAAATCTTACAAAATTGTTGGAAGAAGCTTTGAATTTATACAATGATTTAGTAGGTGCTATGAATTTAGTATTATTTGAAGATGCCATGATGCATGTATGCAGGTAGATGTTATAGTATTATTAATTTTATAAACCATCAGCTATTAATAGACTGTGTTTCCAAAAGAATCAATAGAATTCTAGAATCCCCTCGTGGTAATTGCTTGCTGGTGGGAGTAGGAGGTAGTGGAAAACAATGCCTAGCTAGATTAGCTGCATTTATCTCTAGTTTGGAAGTAGCGCAGATACAATTACGAAAAGGATACGGCTTGTTGGATCTTAAAGTAATACATTTAATTTAATTAACCAATTAATAATAATTTTTATATACTCATATAATTTTAAAGATGGAGCTTTCTAGTTTATACATGAAGTCAGGATTAAAAAATGTAGGAACAGTGTTTCTCATGACTGATGCACAAGTTCCATCTGAATCATTTTTAGTATTGATTAACGATATGCTTTCTTCTGGGGAAATTCCAGAATTATTTCCTGACGATGAAATAGAAAATATAATAGCTGGAGTTCGCAATGAAGTAATATTAAATTATAATAATAAAGAATATCTTTATAATAATTTTTAAATAATTGTAACAATATAATATTCAATGTGCGAAAGTGAAACTTTAATAATAAATATCTTAATTTTTTGTAATTTAACCTTATAAGTTAAGCAAATATATATATTTTTTAATTTATAAAAAATGTTAATTTTTTTATCAAGGTTAAAGGTGCTGGTATCTTAGACACTCGTGAAAATTGTTGGAAATTTTTCATTGATCGAGTCAGAAGGCAATTGAAAATAGTATTGTGTTTTTCTCCTGTTGGATCAGTTTTGAGAGTTCGTAGCAGGAAATTTCCTGCTCTAATAAATTGTACTTCTATTAATTGGTTTCATGAATGGCCACAACAAGCATTAATGTCAGTATCTAATCAATTTTTATCGGAACTTGAAGTCTTACCAGTAATTTCAACAGTCATAAAAATAATATTACTAATCTAAAATAAATAACACAGGACAAAAAAAAAATTCTGCTGTGACAATATTTAAATGAACCCCTGTAAAAAGTTCAGCTTAATTTTTTTATAAAGGAGTGCTATAATCAAGTTTAAAAGCACCAAAAAAACTTGTTGCAGGAGTCTTAAATTTTGTGTAAATCTTTCACAACACAATTAAAACAACTTTAAATAGTTTCAAGAAAAAAAAATTATATTTTTATTAGTTTTTAAGTGTGTAAATATCGCTCAATTACTAATTAGTGATTTTTAAATAGAATAAATTTGATTGAATAAATCTGAATCCAGATTTAGAATGTGTAATAAAATTTTATAGTGGATTCATCTAAACATTGTAAACTGTAGAATTATTTTTTTGACTTGTGTAATTATTGAATGTTCATATAATTGTGAGATATTTGAATCCTAGGAAAATTTTAAAGAATCAGTTGCTAAGTTTATGTCTTATGCACATACTCAGGTGAACACAATATCTCGGGTTTATTTACAGAGTGATAGACGCTATAATTATACGACACCAAAATCATTTTTAGAGCAAATATCTCTTTATTCTAAACTATTAAGAAGAAAATCAGCTGAATTAGCTGGTAAAATTAATAGACTTGAAAATGGATTGGAAAAATTAAAAAGCACAGCAAACCAGGTTAGTTATAAAAAGAAATTAAATTTAGCATCTAAATAAAAGTTTATACTAAATAAAAGCAAGTTTTATATTAATTATTGTTAGATTTCCATGATACTAATTCATTTTTAATTATTATCAGGTAGATAATTTAAAGGCAAAATTGGCTATTCAAGAAATTGAACTTAAAATAAAAAATGATGCTGCTGATAAATTAATTCAAATTGTTGGTGTTGAAACTGAAAAAGTTTCCAAGGAAAAAGCATTTGGTATAATCATTATATATATTTACCTAATGAGACTAGTATTGTATGTTTGTAGTTTGAATTAAGAACTCTTTATCGGTGAAAACTTTTGTGAAATTTTTAAATATAATAAGACATCATTAATGTTAAAAAGGTTGATTATTGTTTTTTAGTGTCTTTTTGTAAATTATAAAGCTCAGTTTAGTAATAATATGTAAGACCATAAAAATACAATTATATTTTACCGTTTGTGAGTTCTTTCTTTAAAACTGATGACTCATACAAAAGCTTAACATAAATAAATCGTATTTAATAGCTGATGACGAAGAAAAAAAAGTCTGTTCAATTGCTGAAGAAGTAAAGAAAAAACAACAAGATTGCGAAGAAGATCTTGTTAAAGCCGAACCCGCACTCTTAGCTGCTCAGGTTATTGTCTATTAGAAAAAAGATTTACGAAAATAGTTAAAATAAGTACATATTTAAAAGGTATTTTTTCTCTTATTTATAATTAGTTCACGTGAGTATGAAAGATAGTTCCATTAATAAAAATTTATAATAAAATATTTTTCCGAAAATCTTAATTTTTTTATAAATGGTTCTTTTTTACCACCTTTTAAATAAATCTTGAACACATTAAATTTGTATTCTGTATAATTTTAATCACTATAAAAATGGAATGATTTTACAGCAAACTAAATAATTATATTACTTAAATTAACCCAACACCAGAAAAAGTGTTTGAAAAAAGTGTGCAGATAATTGTATCTAAGTGCCAATTCGGCGCTGATGATGAAAACGTCGTTATCGAAATAGACGCTTTCGAATTTTTTTTTTCAAGTTCTTTTATATTGTTGAGTTAATTTTATTTATTTTTAGTTAATTATCCATTAGTTACTACTAATTACGGTTATAATTTTTGGGGTTTGATTTAATTATTATTATTTAAATTTTACAATGATTTATTCAGAATAATTAAAAATTATCTGATTAAATAAATTAATTGTTATTTTATCTATAAAAATATCAACAAAAGAATTTAAACTTAATCTGTTTGTTATAGGAAGCTTTAAATACATTGAATAAATCAAATTTAACTGAATTAAAATCATTTGGCTCACCTCCAGGTGTAGTTACAAATGTAACAGCTGCTGTAATGGTACTGTTAGCTCAAAATGGAAAAATTCCAAAAGATCGTAGTTGGAAAGCTGCTAAGGTAATTTTATTAATCAATTAATTTATAAAAGAGTGGTCCACAATGTTTTAACAAATCTAATAAATTTTCATCAACTATTTATTTTTCGTTACTATAAAAAAAAACCCAGCACAGGGGGGTCGCGGCACAGTGGTGCCGTGGTATAGTCGGGTCAAGTATAATGATATCTGACAGTGATTAAAATCACTATCAAAAATAAACGCTTCGATGCAAATCTTTAGATAGTGTTTAATTTTAAAAAAATTGGTGTTTTATTCCAAAAGCTACTTGATCTGCTGGTTCCTTATTAATATCTCGATTAAGATAAAGTATGTCAAATGAAAAAGGGTTTATTAAAAAATATTATTTCTCATAAAAAAATTGTGTGGATACATACACTTTTCAATAAGTTATAGCATTATAAAGTTAAATATAATATAAAAAATAAAATCGAGAATTTTCACACAAAAATAGCATTTGATAGCCATTTTCACCTATAAAAAAAAAATTATATTGATATGTTCATTTTTGAAAACGTTACGGCACATTTTAGTAAAAAAAATTGAAAAATTTTCGAAAATTAGCGATTTTTAAATTTGTAATTTTTTTGGAGGTTTCCCCCATTTACGGAGAACGGGGGGATTTTTTTCAATTTTTGAGGGTAATGTCTTCGACTAGATACGATTTGTGATCTTTTGACGTATCGTTGAAAGAAATCCGTTCGGTGAGAGCTGAGAAAAAGTGGTAACAGACACAAAAAAAAACATATTATAGTAAAACATATTATAGTAGATGCTTCGCATCGAAGCTAAAATGTACGCACAGTTAGATTTCGTTTAAATCATATTATTAGGAGCAAATAAGGTGAAACGGTGTAAGTATGATTTTCGAGAAAGTGTGTCTGTTACACTTTTGGACATGACAAAATGTTGATTATTCATTAGAAAAAATTTTATCATAATGTAATGTTGTCCTATTTCAACAGTTCACAAATAGTGATAGTAAAAAGAAAAACATATTACTCACATTTATCTCACTTCACATTAATAAAAAATATACTTTTAATGTAATCTAATAATGCATTAATTATTTTTAAAAAAATAACGCAAAATATATATTCAAAAAAGTTATTAGATTTGTTAAAACATTGTTAACCACTATGTATAAATAAATTTAAATTTAAAAAGTATACATAACAATAGTTATGGGGATACCATAATTTTTTTCAAAAAATAAATAAATAACCTCCCTCTTTTTTTTGGAAGAAATATTTTTGGAAATTCTTGGAGTTATTTTAGAACTATATATTTTAAATTTTTTCCAAAATTCAGTGAAATTGGCTTAATTGAAAAAATGGTACAAATACTAGGGTTTAACATCTTGTGTTTAGATAAATAGGTTTATTCGTTTTATCAACTACAAATGAAAAGTGTTTAAGTATACATCAAGGGTAAAATAATGATAAAAATTATAATAATTTTTATAATATTATATAAAATTAGCTTTATGTAAATTATTTAAAGCTTTATGGATGTACAAAAATATGAATTTCATAGATTATGATGGCCAAAGTGGACAGCTTTTTGGATTTATTAATAAATTACGATAAAGAAAACATCCATCCTGAAGTAACAAAAGCCATAAAGCCATACTTAAAAGATCCAGAGTTTGAGCCTGAATTTGTAAAAACAAAATCTGCCGCTGCTGCAGGTTTACATTATTTATACGTTATGATATTATATAATACATTATATAAACATTATACAAGAAATATGAATTATATTTTGATGAATTTGAGTAGGATAGCAAAATTGTCATTCGTTATATTATTTTAAGAATAAAAGTTAAAGTAGTAACGAAATTTATATTACAAATCAGAGAGTTGTTACATTTTAAGTATTTTTAATTGTTTCTGACCAAAAAGTTAATAGCAATAAGTTGATAGTTAAAGTATAAATTATTGTAAACGCCAATAATGAAAGATAACTGATCTTTAAAAACTTTTTTTTATATAAATTATAATTACACCATTGACCGTTTTTTGATCATATCTCTCTATTAATATGAATAATGTATATGTATATATCTAAAGTGAGATATATCGTTTACAATAATATATCAAAAAGTCAATTTTTCAAAATTTGTTTTAGAACGACAATTTGCTATCTAACCATCGATGTTTAATAACCAATTTTTTTAATATTTAATACAAATATTTTATAAATTTACAATAAATAATTAACTGATTTGTATTATTCAATAAAATTAGGTCTTTGTGCTTGGGTTATAAATATAATCAAATTTTATGAAGTATACTGTGACGTAGAGCCAAAAAGAATAGCTCTTTCTCAAGCTAATGCAGAATTAGCTCAAGCACAAGAAAAATTGTCTATCATAAAGAAAAAAGTTGCCGTATGTAATTTTTATTTATGCATAATTTCCGTTATCTGGCTCAGTAATTTGATAAATTTATATTTAATGAAATATCCATCATACATTTTCAATGTTCGGCGCTAATTGGTTCAACTATTTATTATATCAATCATACGTTAATATATTTTTTCAATAACTTCAATTGATTATACTACTATTATGGATACTTTGATTTATACTTCAACAACATTTATGATTCTAAGTTTATAAATAATTTATTATTAGAATTGAAACTCAAAAGAACTTTGACTTTATGTATTTAATTATATAACCGAATAAATTTCTTTTTAATAATAATTATTAATAACACAGACCCAACTTTGATGGGTCACAGCACGATGGGTAAGCGGCAAAGTTGGGTCGTAGAATTATAGATGATATTTTACAGTTTTATCATCACTATCATAAGAAACGCTTGAGCGAATATGTTAAATTTCATAATTTATATATTTGTTATCTTACAATTCCTATGATTTAAAATTTCACTCAAACATTAAATACTTTTCAAATTACTTGCTTAATTAAAAATTTATTTCAAAACTATTTATTTGCTTTGATCGGGGATTTTTTATGTAGAACAATGGGCGAAACAATCGTTTTTATTATTATTGTACTACACTTAAAAAACTTTAATTTGTAATAGGTTAAAACTTCCAACTTCTGGAAAATTTTCAAAAATTAAATTAAAAAATCTTTTTTATACATGCGTGGATGATCTCTTTTAAATCTTGTACTTATGTTTTTATTGGATTTTTACAAATAGCATACCAAAAAAAAAAACTTAATGGCTTTTGTATATTTTATTATACATTATTCCCAGCATATATGCAGAAAATTTATTCATGAGTTTGATATACAGATTGATCTCAAATTAATTCGGCAGTGATATTAGTTAACGAGTGACAGATAACGGAAAAATTAGTAGATTAACTAAGATGATTCGGTCTTCTTCGAAATTTATATTAATAATTTCTAATTTCATGACATTATATCTGATTTAGTCATTGGAAGAACAGTTATCAAAACTGACTGCAGACTTTGAACAGGCTACATCTGAAAAATTACACTGTCAACAAGAAGCAGATGCCACAAATAAAACAATAGCATTAGCTAATAGACTGATTGGTGGTTTAGGATCTGAAAATGTTCGTTGGGCAGAAGCTGTCTCATGGTATATCCTTATTCTTCGCGCAGAATAAGTTTTAAAAATATATTTGATCATTAATTTATTATGTATGGTCAATATTATTAATATAAAACTAAACATTTCATTCTTTTAATTTTGCAAGATAAAAAAAATCCCAAAATATAAGAAAAATTGACTTTTTTCAATATTTCATAAAAATAAATATAGTTTAAAAAAACTATATTTATTTTTTACTTTTTAGTTTTATGTTATGATAGTAGTTACTATCAATATCATGGTTGTAACGGGTAACGGGAAATCAGGGTTTGATTCCGGGGAGGTAGTCTAAGAAACGGCTCCCACATCCAAGGAAAGCAGCAGAGCGCAAATTACCCACTCCCGGAACATGGAGGTAGTGACGAAAAATGACGATACTGGATTCATCCTTTGTAATCGGAATGAATGAGTTCTATATTTTTAAATAAGAATAAAGTGTGTTAATATATATTTTTAATAGTAATTAGAATATATATATATACATGTAGAGCGACTTAAGTACGTAAACGTAAAATGCACTAGGTATAGCCGTGTTTTGTGGGCAGTCGGGTCGGACTAACGTTAAACCTGAGGTATAAACGGCGGTAGGAATATATACGTAAGCCGTATGCTCGCGGATGATAATGGTCACTCAAAATAAAAATTTGTTTATATATATATAATATTGATGACAAGCACGCGTGTACGGGTACGATAACCAAAAATAAATTTATACAGAGGAATAGTGTTACCGACGTGTGATGAGCGAGGCATGGGGTGGGGTGAATGCGTTATGACAGTCTAGTCTAGACGACGGAATATGCGATAACGCGTGGCATTTTGAGAGTTACAAACATACATACATACATACATACAGGTGAAACTAATATAAGCGTGTTAAAAAAACGATCAGTTTTACATTCTTCTATTTTCCTAACATAACATGCTACAAAGGATGGTGACCTCTTTCACGTGTTATAGAGTCAAAAAATGTTCATGGGTAGGTCAATAGTGGACGGGATGGGTATTATAGTCGGCTGCACCAGAGACAAGACAACGATAATAAGGAAAATACAAGAGAAATCTCGTTAGGTATTATAACCAGGATCCTGTGTGTCAAAACAAACATTTCTACCCACTTGGCCAGGCCGAACTTTTATATAATTAATTAATTTATATCTTTAAAACATTTCATCTTTGTCAATAAAAAACGTTGGGTTTGGTTTATATATATATTAAATATGTTTTAATTATTTATAGTTTTATGCAACAAAGTACAACTCTTCCAGGAGATATTTTACTAATTACCGCTTTTATATCTTACGTTGGATGTTTCACTAAATACTACAGATTAGAACTTCTACAAAAAATATGGACTCCTTATGTCAAAACATTAAACGTATATTATGATAAAACACAGTTTTTTAATATGCAAAAAAAATAATCGTCTATAATTTTTAGCCTTCAGTTCCAATAACAGAGGGTCTTGATCCATTATCTTTATTAACTGATGATACACAAATTGCAATCTGGAATAATGAAGGACTACCAAGTGATCGTATGTCAACAGAAAACGCTACTATTTTAACTAATTCAGATCGATGGCCACTAATGATAGATCCACAAGTAAACTTCAACAATATCTATAATCATAAAAGTTTAATTAGAACAAAACAGTTTTTAAATAACATCTGATTTCAATTCTATAGCTTCAAGGTATAAAATGGATTAAACAAAAATATGGTGATAGTTTAATAGTTTTAAGACTTGGTCAAAAAGGATGTATGGATGAATTAGAAAATAGCATAACTCTAGGCTATACAGTACTAATAGAAAATATTGAAGAAAACTTAGATCCTGTGTTAGATTCTTTATTAAGTCGTAATCTTATTAAAAAAGGAAAGTAAGTAACAAGTAGTTTTAAGTTAATAATAAGTATAAATTATCATCAACAATGTTGAGAAATTACTCGTAATTTTCAAGAGCTATAAAAATGGGTGATAAAGAAATAGAATACAATTCAAATTTTCGATTACTCCTCCATACAAAACTTGCAAATCCACATTATAAACCTGAAATGCAAGCTCAAACAACTTTAATAAATTTCACAGTTACCAGAGATGGTTTGGAAGATCAGTTATTAGCTGAAGTAGTAAAAGCAGAAAGACCTGATTTGGAACAACTTAAAGTATATACTAACAATAAATATATAATAATTGTAATATATTCAGAGTATAATATTAAAACATATTTTTGTTACAAGGCTGAATTAACAAAACAGCAGAATGATTTTAAAATTATGCTAAAGAAGCTAGAAGACGACTTACTTTCACGATTATCTTCAGCAGGAGGTTCGTAGAAAACAATAAATAGATATTGTCGTACACCTGTTTTATCTGGCTTTGACACCAAAACACACACACACAAACAAAAGAGATATACTTTTTAATATATTAACAGCGTTTCATTGGCTATTCCCGAGTACTCTTATCAAAATACGCTACTAAATTCAATGCTCTCTAGTTAGTGAGCCACTATAGGGGTAGCCTGTAGTCCCAATCCAACCCAACCAATCATAATTGTTTAAAGGCGATTTCTTATTGAGCATCAGTACAACTATTTTTTCACTGTACCAACTAGCCCACCGTTAGCCCAGATACTAGCCAGCTTATGTACTAATTATTGGGATAGGCGGAATGATTAGTGATCCGACCTTAAATTCAGGCGCACACACGAGATAATTATTGTAATAAAAATGAAATTTAATAAAATATAATAAGTCTTTGGAACGGTTCTAAATAGATTAATTCCAAATATATAATGGTAACACACATGCACAAAATGATAAAACAGTAACAAATACACAATTTCATTAATCCAACCTAACCGTACGAATACAAAAATTAACGTTTTTTTTAAACGTCGACAGAGACTATTATGATCAAATCACCACCCCTTTTCATAATTTGGTCCAAATTTTTATAGTGTATAGTTCCTTACTAATTTATTTAAATTATTTGCTATTTCTCTTATTCATTATAATTTTTGTTGACATGACCATAATAAATGTTTAAGGTTTTACCATAATTATTGTAACAAATTTTAATCGTATATAAATTAATGATATTTTTTCCTTGATCTAATAAAAAAACAAATTTTCTTTTAATTCTTAGATGATATACTAAGTGATACCGCATTAGTGGAAAATTTAGAAACAACTAAACGCACTGCTGCAGAAATACAACATAAAGTAGCCGAAGCTAAAATTACATCAGAAAAAATTGACGAAGCCAGGGAACATTACAGACCAGCAGCATCCAGAGCAAGTTTATTGTATTTCATACTCAATGAGTTAAATACTATTAATCCAGTTTATCAATTTTCACTTAAGGTTTTTATTTGAATTATTTATTTATAATAAGTAAAATATAATAATTACTGATCTTTGCAGGCATTTTGTGTAGTATTTCATAATGCGATTGAAAAATCACTATCAGCTAAAGAGGTAGCCCAAAGGGTAATAAATTTAATAGATTGTATTACCTACTTTGTTTTTGTGTACACGTCTAGAGGACTCTTTGAATGTGACAAGCTAATTTTTGCTTCTCAAATGACGTTTCAGGTAGTTACTTATAAAATGAGCACTTTTTAGAGAGTATAAATTTAAATGTATCTGCATCAAATTATGATGATTGTTTTATAAATAGCTTAATTTTTTATTTTAAATTCTAAAAAATCTTATCATCTTGGTTCATATAGTGGCGTAATTTGGAGTTAATTCTGAATGGAATTTACATGAGAAAATTTTCACTACTAATCCAAACAAAAAAATTGTCTCTTCACCATATAAATAAATTTTGTTCTTAGAATCTACCCCGTCATCCCACCTTAATAATCATCTCTGGGTTCATTTTAATTCATGAATTATGTACATTTTTATGGTAGATACTGTTAAGAAATGAAGAAATATTACCTCAAGATTTGGATTTTTTCTTGCGTTTTCCAACTGCTCAACATATAAGTAGTCCTGTGGACTTTTTGTCGAACTCTAGTTGGTCAGGCATAAGGAGTTTGTCGAGCAAAGATGAATTTAGGTATTTCAATTGAACAAAATTAATGATTCTTTATTAAATACTTAACGAGAATATATTTGAAGAAATTTGGATCGGGATATAGAAACATCGCCGAAAAGATGGAAGAAATTTATAGAAACCGATTGCCCTGAACGTGAAAAATTTCCTCAAGAATGGAAAAATAAAATTTCATTACAAAGATTAATGATGATGAGAGCATTAAGGCCTGATCGAATGACATATGCCATGTCGTAAGTTTTTGTGTTGAGATAATATTACTTATCTAAATTGATGAAAATATTAATGTAATTTTAATTAAATCGAATAATCTTTTAGAGTTTTTATTGAAGAAAAACTTGGATCTAAATATGTAGAAGGTAGAAGTATAGATTTTTCAAAATCTTTCGAAGAGACATGTCCAACAACACCAATTTTCTTTATATTATCACCAGGAGTTAATCCTTTAAAAGTAATTTGTATAAACTGTATTTTTATAATTTTTCCTCAAAAATGAACCATTACACATATTAATTATCAATAAATTTAAATATTACAAAAGTGATTTATTTTAAATTGTTAAGATTTTTATATGTAGATGTTAAATTAGATTATACACTTGATAGGATGTTGAAGATTTAGGTCATAAACTTGGAATATCAAGCGCGCAAAAAAATTTCCACAATGTTTCCTTAGGACAAGGTCAAGAAGTAGTTGCTGAAAATGCAATGGAAATTTCAGCAGCTCAAGGACATTGGATTGTTCTTCAAGTACCGTATAATTTATACAAACTCATGAAATAAAAAATATTTTTTAGGTTAGATGATAAATGCCTATGATAAAAAATAACTAACCATGACTATAATACATTTTGTATAAATTACAATCAATGTCGTTTGAAAAATTTGATTATTACCTTTATAGCAGTGGTTAGGAGTTTTAATGCTAGACGTTGATCATTCACTAATTTTATATTTTCAGTTAAAAATAAATTTTATGTTTAACATGTCTAAGTCACTTGACTTCTATATTAAACTGCATATTATTTTAGAATATACATTTGGTCAAAAAATGGTTACCAACATTAGAAAAAAAAATGGAATTGCTTGGTAATACGGCACATCCGAACTATAGATTATTCTTAAGTGCAGAACCAGCTGCTACATCTTCAGCGCATATTATACCCCAAGTTAGTAAACGAAAATAAAATGATATTATAACAAGAACTTAATGATAGTTTTTATAATACTTAGGGGATTTTAGAGTCTTGTATTAAAATAACTAATGAACCTCCAACTGGTATGCAAGCAAATTTACATAAAGCGCTAGATAATTTCAATCAGGAAACTTTAGAAATGTCTTCTAAAGAAGCTGAATTTAAAGTTATATTATTTTCATTATGCTATTTTCATGCTGTTGTCGCTGAACGTAGAAAATTTGGCGCACAAGGTTGGAACAAAATTTATCCGTTTAATGTTGGTAAGTATAACGTAATATATTTTAATAATAACACCTTAGACATAAAAGTATATTAATGAAAGTTCTGCTCTAAATAAATAGTACAATATATTTTTCATAACAAAGTAGTTGTCAATAAATACAGTAGACTTTTTTATGTGACATGTTCCCATTTCAAATTTTTTTATACAGTAGGCTTATAAAGCTTTAAAAATACTAAAAGTTTTAATTGACACTTTATAAAGCAAAATAAAAAGTGCATTATTTGTATTATCAATTTCAAAAGAACTCATTGTAGTTGCGATAAATATAGATTGTAATATAAAAGTGAAAAAAACTACTATTGTTTAACACATAATAGTAAAATATATATCTACACATGGAAATTTTGCTTGGTTAGAGAAATAATAACAATTTTTACTAGTAAATTATCTAAAGTTAGATTTTTAATAGCGCTTAGATATTTAAATTTAGATAGTTGAATACCTAAGAGTTCATAAATATTTATTTTATACTTGTATACCTCGTATTTTATAACTTGTAGTATATCAATAGAAGCTTAACCAGAGAATTTTTCGCGTTATTATTTTAGCTAGTTATGAATTTTACAGTGTTGAGAAGGAACTGGTTCCAAAAGGAACGGATTCCTGGAACGAGTTCTTTTTGAAGGAACGATGCTAGGAACTGCTTCCTTTTAAAATAAAGGAACGAGGAAAATGAACAAATTCCATTTTTTAAGGAACGTGAACGGAAATTACAGTTCCTAAAATTTTTTATAAACATGTTTTAGTGTAGTTTTCTTCGTATCTAGACATTAAAATATTAAGGTATTTTTAGTTGACTTTTGACAATGGAAGTCCCCTATATACCCAGCCGAGATCGTAGGCTGTTTAAATGAATCAATTGACTATAAATAGAGTTATTATCACATGTAGGTATACAGTAAATATTTAATATACAGGGTGTTCAATAAGTCAGGAAACGGGTTTCTATTGTTCTCATTGTTTGTAACAATTGTATGTGTACATACAGGGTGTTCAGTAAGTCAGGAAACGGGTTTCTATTGTTCTCATTGTTACAAACAATGAGAACAATAGAAACCCGTTTCCTGACTTACTGAACACTCTGTATATTAAATAATGCACCAAATATTATCGTCGATTCTTGTTAACTAATATATGTTATGGGTTTTGGGTTTTCTGATTTATTATTTCTAATTTATATGTAGACAATAGACATTGGTCGCGTTGACACAAGTCGTTAGCATTTACTACCTGCTTATAAATATAATTTTCGAATACTTTTAAATAAGGAATACTACAAATTTGTTTTGTATTCGACTGCTGATGAAAATCATTGATGACCGTTATCATGATCTCATTACCACAATTTTTTAAATAACTTGGTTACATAAAAGGAACGAAGAGTGGAACGAGTTCTTATTTGGAGGAACTGGATCTGGAACAAGTTCCTTCTTAATATAAAGAACTAGGATCTGGAACGAGTTCATATTTTAGAAAATGAACGGGGAACGGAACGAGTTCCATTTAAAAAGGAACTTTCCCAACACTGATTTTACACTTGTTAAAAAATTTTTAAGATGACTCAATAAAATTTTATTAATGCATGAATTTATTCAATATTCAAAGTTTTTTCAAATTTCAATAAATCAAAATTTATGATGTTTTAATTTTCTGTACACCTTAAGACTCGAGAGAATGAAAATATACTGTATATCATAATAACATATAGTTAAAATAACTATACCAGTATTCGAATTTTAAATATTATATAATATTCAAAATACAGACTAGTTTGAATAACTTGATTATTAAAATAGATAAATATCATTGTTTAGAAATCACAATCTACTAACTAATTTAATTCATATTGTTATCAGGTGATTTAAACATAAGCGTCAGTGTTCTTTTTAATTATTTGGAAGCTAACAACAAAGTTCCTTGGGAAGATTTGAGATATTTATTTGGTGAAATTATGTATGGGGGTCACATAACAGATGACTGGGATAGAAAATTATGTATTTCATATTTAGAAGAGTTAATGCAACCAGATCTTGTAATGAAAAAATATCAAACATTTTCGAGATAATTTTCGAATAATTTTTACCACAGGTAGATGGTGATCTTTATTTAGCTCCTGGATTCCCTGCACCTCCAAATACAGATTATCAAGGCTATCATACTTACATCGATGAGGTTTTACCCTCTGAAAGCCCAGTTCTTTATGGATTACACCCTAATGCTGAGATAGGTTTCATGAGTACTACATCCGAAAATCTTTTTCGTACGGTTTTTGAAATGCAACCTAGAGAAGCCGGTGCTGTTAGTGGAACAAATGTTACAAGAGAAGATAAAGTGAGTTTATAGTTTATATTTGAATTAGTTCAATATTTTTATTATTTTTGTTAGGTAAAACAATTAGTTGATGAAACACTAGAAAAATTACCAGAGGAGTTTAATATTAATGAAATGATGAGTAAAGTGGAAGAAAGAACTCCTTATGTAATAGTTGCTTTTCAAGAGTGCCAGAGGATGAATTATCTCACTAGTGAAATGAAAAAATCTTTAAAAGAATTAGAGTTAGGGTTGAAGGTAAATAATTAAAAATAAAAAAACAATACTACATTATTATTTATGAAAAATGTTCATTAGGGAGAACTGACAATTACTTCAGACATGGAAATTTTAGAAAATGCTCTTTTTTTAGATCAAATTCCTTCGGTATGGTTAGATAGAGCTTATCCATCACTACTTGGTCTTGGATCATGGTTCTCAGACCTTTTACTCCGAATTAGAGAGTTGGAGACATGGACAACGGATTTTGTGGTAATTCAATAAATAATTATAATAGAATGTATATATTTAAATTAGTATTACCTTTAAATTTTAAATATCTTTTAAAATTCGTACAGTAAAATGGCGTGAACAGGAGTGGATCGGATCAAATTAAAAATAATTTGTTTAAAAACACTACAGCTTTATTAATACTTAAACTATTAATACTTAAACTATTAATACTACACATCGTCATTTCTTCAATTTAATATTATTGAAAAGACAAAAAAATGTGTTTCTGTTGACACCCTAGTTAATATTCACCCTATTTTAGAGTATTTTAAATGATATTGGTACTTCTTTCTTTACTTGTTAACTAAACAAGTAAACATTATATTTTATGTGTATAAAACGTATTTTAATATATTAAAGTGTTTTAAAATTTTATATTAATTGAAAAATAATTTTTTAGAAATACAAAAAATTATTGTCATATTGAAATATTAAGGAAAACATATGAATTATTAAAGTCCTAACTCAATTTAAGTATTATAATGTTACTTGATTTTTATTGGACCGTTAGTTAAATAAATAATAAAATTAATTTTAAAAAAATCTCTGTTTAAAAATATAAATGTTTACTAAAATCACTTAATTATTTAATTATGAATCATTAAATTACAAATGAAATTTTCTTGTACCATTATGACTATTTGTATTCTCGTAGCTCTCATGCTGTGAATAATAGAATAAATTAATTTTCATAAGCCTAGATACAGAATTTTGGAAATAATAAATTCTCATTAAATTTGTAGTTACCTTCATCGGTTTGGTTATCGGGATTTTTTAATCCTCAATCATTTTTGACAGCAATAATGCAAAGCACTGCACGTAAACATGAGTTACCCCTCGACAAAATGTGTCTTCAATGTGATGTGATGAAAAAACATAAAGAAGAATTCAGGTATACATTAAATAAAAAAATTTAATTAAACATTTAAAATAAACTTTTAAACTTCATTTTTTATCGATACTCTTCAATTTTTGTCATTTATATTGAATCAAAATTTTCTTCTTATATTTTAGTGGAGCAGCGAGAGATGGTGCTTATATTCATGGACTTTTTATGGAAGGTGCTAGGTGGGACATTTTGCAGGGAGTGATTATGGAATCAAAACTTAAAGAATTATTTCCACAAATGCCTGTGATAAATGTTCGGGTGTGTATATTTTAGTATTTTCCTTATTAAGTCTTCCAATCCCAAAAATTTATGTGATTTTTTAAATCCATCGAAAAACTTTTATTTTTAAAATTAACATTTTTACTAGTAATAGATTAATTATTTTAATCATAAATGGAGATAAAAATAGAAATGTCATCATAAACAAATCACTCAATTTATTTATATTACACATAGGAAAATAAATCTTTAAAGTTTAAAATTATTTTACAATACTTATTTGAGTATAAACTAACTAGTTAAATTCCAAAATTTAAAATTTATACTTATGAATTTTCAGGCTATAACTCAAGATAAACAAGACTCACGAAACGTTTATGAATGTCCAGTATATAAAACTAGAACTAGAGGTCCAACTTATGTCTGGACTTTTAACTTGAAAAGTAAAGATAAACCATCAAAATGGACATTAGCTGGAGTAGCACTGTTATTGCAACTTTAATTTTTGTATTTATTTTAATATTAAGAATAGGCTTTAAGTAGGAAAAATGAATAATCTTTATTTTAAATGCAATGTTAAAATTTCTTCTGATTTAAAAATAAAATTATAGTTTTAATTTAACAAACTAAATCTAAAAAATTGCAAATTTATTTTGCGTTGAGTGATTTATTAAAAACTATTCATACAATTAAATCACGTTCGTCAAATTATTATTAATATAAAATTAGAATACACTATAAAGGTGTTAATACTACAGTAATTAATTTTTATATTTATTAAAACTCATATTTTGTTTCTTCAATTTTAAAATAAAACTTCACCATAAAACAATTTTTGTATAAGCCTTTGTATTCATTGTCATAATATCTTACGATTTTGCAAAACTCATCCGATACTAGTCTTAAACTATGAAAATAAATTATTATATCAATTTATCGACTTAAAATGAATTTCAGAATTTTAGAACAGTTTCAAAAAAAATATTCTTAAGCATACATTCAAGTTGTAGAAAACTAAGACTTGATCCAAAAACTTTCATAAATAGCTAATATTCGTGAAAATTTAAGAAACATTCTTACATATGCTACAGTAAACTTAATATGATAAGTCACTGATTATCTAAAAAAACTATTGAAAATTTAAAATATTTGTAAATAAAAAATTTATTTGGTTTAAAATGTCTAAAATGTGGTAAAAAATTTTTTTTTTTCATCGAAGTTAAAAAACTTTAAATTAAATTTTCTTAAATGAGAATCCTTAACTTTAACTTAATATGATATAAAAAAAAAAAAATTTACAAAAAATTTTTTTTTGTCAGATCAACCGTTTATCTGTTATAATATGTAAAGTTAACTGATTTTAGTCCGAAATTTTATTTTTATATTACTGTTAAATACAGTAGTCTTCAATTTTTTATGCAGTCACAAAAACCAATTTTTATTTGACCAAAATATGACAAATACAATAAAATGGTAAGATACACCCAAAGAAAAACCTCAATCAATTTTGATAGAGAAATTTTATCAAGGGTTTATGATAATGTTTTATTAATACGAACAAAATAATTATTCTTATGCATAATTATTGTTCAAGATAAGAAAAAAAATCATCATATTGATAAATATATCATAGATTCAATAGTAATGATATATTTATCAAATTGAACAATGGATTTATTATATAGATCGAGGTTTTTCTCTGGGTATAGCAAACGTTTTTTTGAAAATTACCATGATATTTTCGTTATGGAACAAGATTACTGCTGCTACCAATGTTATAAAACCAAATCAATAATAATTTTTTACTTGAAATCTATACATTAAAACAATTAAAAAAGCAATGGATTGAACGAAAAAATAAAATTGTTTGTAATTTGTTCTTCTATCATATTATCAAGTTAATTATAGGGGTTTCTGTATAAGGAAATTTAATTTAAGAATTTTTATCCCTGAAAGGGTAAAAAAAAGTTATTTAATTAAATATTACTTTAAAGTTTTTTATAGCTAATATTTTGTCTCATTACAAAATTTAAACATTTTTCAATGGTTTCTGAGAAAATTAATGTCTTACTAGATTTATATCGTTTGGTAATGTAGTAATAAGTTATTACAATATTTTGTATCAATAATACAGGACATCGGTAATTTTTTAGTATATACACCGAAAAAAAATCTTGTTAAAATCAACAAGTTTATTATTGATATAGAGCCGACTATATTTTTGGTTAATGGAATAAAAAATGTATCTAGCAAACATATATTTTATTATAATTAAATATTCCAGTAATAAAAATATGATTGATCAATAAAAAAAGAAATTGTCGGCTGTAATTTTTTTTTCCAGTGTGATTCAAGTTTCTTTTTTTATTACATAGTTTTTGAGACAATGAATAATTAGTAATATGATATACAATACATAATAGTGTTAAATGTACCACAAGTAGGATGTGATGAAATAGACAAGGAAGTGTTTTGGAGAGAGATGTATGAGATGATGCAGGGAATACCTGGCAATGAGTATGCAGTAATAGGCGGAGATATGAATGGACATATAGATAACGAGAGAAAGGTATATGAAAGAGTAAATGAAGGGTATGGTTTTAGTGGAATGAATGAGACTAGATAAAGAATTTTTGGATTTCGCAGTATTATATAATCTTGCTGTGGTTAATATTTACTTTAGAAGGAAGGAAGAACATTATATAACATATAAGAGTGGGAGAAATAGATTACAGATTGATTATTTTATGTGGAAGAGAGAGAGCATAAAGCGAGTAAAAGATTGTAAAGTTATCCTAGACGAGAGTGTAACTTCACGACATAGACTCATGCTAATGGAGTTGTGGTGTAGTGAAAAGGGAATATAAAAAAAAAAATATGAGAAAAATTGAGGATCCTATGGTAGAAATTGAAAGGGGAAAATGAAAAAAAGTTTTTAAAGACAGTAAAAGAGAACAATGTCGAATGTCGAAGGAGACATAAATTATGTGTGGAATAGATTTGCTAGTTGTGTAAAGAATACAGCAAAGGTAATTGTTGGTTTTAAGTATTTAAGACAGTTGTGCAAAAGAACGGTGGTATTGATGAGAATGTAAGACATAGAATTAAGTGCGGGTGGCTGAAATGGCGAAAAGCATCTGATGTGTTATGCGATAAAAGAATTCCAATGACACTGAAAGGTAAGTTCTATAAAACAACTATGAGACTAGCTATGATGTATGGTTCAGAGTAACAGAGGTTGACAAGAAAGTAGAGCAGAGAATGAAAATTGTATAGATAAGAATGGTTAGATTGATGAGTGGAGTGACTAAAGAAGATAGGATAAAAAACGAACATATAAAAAAGTATAGGTGTGGTGCCAATCGTGGATAAAATAAATTTAGATGGTTTGGTCTTGTTATGAGGAGAGAGGAATCAGAAGCTGTAAGAACAGTTACAACAATAAATGTTGGAGGAAAATGAAGTAGTGTATGACCAAAAAGATATGGAGGGATGTTATTGAATGCGATATGAGCACGGATGAAGTGAGGGTAGATGATGTTAAAGATCGTGTCAAGTGGAAGTTTCGGATAAGGGTAGCCAACCCCAAGTAGTTGGGATAAAGGAGAGAGAAAAGAAGAAGAATATATATATACATAATATATAATAATATAATAATTAAACAATAAAATGTTTGTAAAATTTGAAAATATAATTGTTATTAAAAAATATTTTGTATAACTTACAAGACCTATTCGCCTAATTTAATCGATTTAAGACGTTTAAATTTGAGTTTCAAAACAAAAAAAAACGCTGAAATTTCAGTAAATTTTTTTGTATAACTTACAGTAATGAAGTTGTAATTAAAATATAGATAATTTTGTGAAAAATAAAATATATCGATTTTTTTCGTTGAGTGACAATTGACCGACAAAAGTGCAATTACGAAAAAAAATATACATAAAGCTAAAAAATTTGGAAAAAAAAGAGTATATAATGATTTAACTGTATTATTATAACGTAATTTTAAATTATTAATTATCTCAAAATCTAGATGTGTTAGAAAATATCTAAATCCTGGTTCAAAATCATCGTCAAATTTTTTACAGAATTTACCTAAATATTATAGATAGTGGAATTTATTATTATTTATTTATTTTTTTTGATCTAGGTAATTGATACTAGAGAACGGTTATAATTATTATTTTTATTTATTGTATCTGTTGTTTGTTTTAAAAAACCTAAACTGACCCGAGAATAAAAAATGTCATTTATTTTTTGAGTGCAGTAAAGAATTAATATAAATTTTTCTTTTCGTTACTATTCATTATACAAATAATGCAGTTTGTTTTATCATGAAAAATTATTTATGTTTATTATAAAATAAATGAATTGAACATAATGGAAATAAAATATTTTTTTTTCTATTTTCGTTCAATTAAATATCTACTTATGTACCACATTTAATAATTTTGTAACACTTAAGTAAGGTCGTGGCACAGTTGGGACAAATATAGATAATATCTGAAAGTGGTTAAAATCACTACCATAAGAAACGCTTCAAATCAAATCTGTTTAATTTTAAGAAATTGATGGATTATATTATTAACTATTTCTCGTTCAACTTCGAATGACATTTACACATAGAAGATAGGTCGTTGGGACAAATTTTTTTTTAAACTTATAGTATGTAACATGAAGTTTAATTTAACATTATTTAAAAAACGCAGTATTACCGGAACATTTTCAAAAGTTATGTTGAAAAAGTTCTACTTTTTATTCGTATGGTTCAAGTTTTGAACGCCCTCTGTATAAGGAGAAATTACCCGATTTAAAAAAAAGTGTATAGGATAAAAGGGATATACATAATATATTTAGAAACAAAAATGTGTATTGATACATACATTTTTCAAAAAGTTATAGCAATTTAAAGTTGAAAAAAATAAACTCGAAAATTTTAACACAAAAATTCATAAAAATTGTTGGACTCATTACTAATGCAAACCTTTATAAGGTATTTTAAAATAAACAAAAATAAATAAAATTTGAACACAAAAATAGCATGTATTTTAACTACGGCAGCCATTTGCATGTATAAAAGATAAGTCATCCTGACAATTTTTTTTTTTTTATTTAGAATACATAACATAAGCTTTAATTTAATATTTGTTTAAAAGACGCAGTATTTCCGGAACATTTTTAGAAGTTAAATAGTAATTTTGACTTTTGTAAAAAGGTTGCTATTTTGAATCCCCCAGTAGGTATTTACCGGGTCAGAATTTCAAAAAAATGATATCAAATAAAAGGAAAATTTCTAAAGTTTCTATTTAAAAAAAGTGGAAAAAAATGTCAACATTTACCGGTTTTAAAAATTGTAAGTTTTTTGGGGGATATTCTCCATTTAGAGAGAACGAGAGAATCTTTTTAATTTTTAGGGAAATGTCTTCAATTAAATACGATTTGTGATATTTTGACATATGGTTGAAAGAAATGGGTTCGACGAGAGCTGAGAAAAGTGACAATAGACATAAAAAAAAAACAAAATTAATACCATCTCAGTTTTGTATCGAAGCCAAAAAAATGTTTAAATAGTCTCATTATAAGTGGTATTTATGTTATGAATTAAAAACTGTTTTTACGTAATACTAATTTATTTAACACATTTAAGGATTAGAAAAAAACATGTCACGAGATTGTAATAAAATATGGCTATCATTAAATTAAAATTTACCCAACATTTTCTACCAACATATTTACTTACGAATATTACTTTCAAATAAACTCTGAAGTATACTTTTTGGTCCATTTGCTTTCATTTGTGATTCTTGCATCTGAATTAACACAACATTTTTATTATATTATTTTTATAGACTGGTCAATTCGTTAATTAAATTTTGTTTATTACATGGCAGAAATTAAAAACCCTAACAAACATTATTTATTAATATATAAGAACCATTAATTTTATAATTACTACTTTTTCCAGTTATAAATAATGTATTATACTATACAATTATTAAATGTAACACGAACTTTTTTTCTATTCGTATAGTAGGATCCATAGTGCTTAAATATAAAATATTCTAACTGAGTTTAATTTAATTTAATTTTACAAGTTTCCATTTTCATAGATAGATGATAATACATCAACTTTTATAGAAATATGTTTTTATTACAGCAATGAAAATTTTTTATAAATTCAAACAAAAAAAAAATTCCTAGGTTGTTGTAGTATTACTTGCCTCAATTATATTAACAAATACAAAACTTAAATATTGTAAAAACCTCCGTACACTTCTCCTAAGTTATCCTGATAATTTTTTTTATTTTACACAGATGACTTTGTAATTAATGTATAACAAAAAAACTTTAATCTATTATCAACTTGTTACTTTTTTACTAATATTCTCTTGTTTGGTTGTTTCTTTTTTTAAATTGCTTGATTTATCTTTTAAATTATCGTTTTCTAGCTTTGATATTTCTATAGTTTTCACTTTGTTAGAGGTATCCACATTGGTTGCAAATGACATTTTATTACGATGAATTATGGCATTCTATATAAATAATTTTAGGTTAATGATCAATTACTATTACGGGCATAATATAGAAACAATATATTGGATTTGACTGTTAAATTAGAAAAATAAATGAAAAATACAATCCATTGAAAATTTATTAGAAAAGGTTCAGTGAGAGGAAATGTGTGTTTTTTTCTTGATAATAATGAAATACACAGGGATAATTTTTTAGAAACCTTTGTAGTTTTAACCTTTTAATTATAAATGTTAGCTTCATTCATAAGTTGAAGATAAGAATGAAAAAATAAATATAGTAATCAATAAATGCAGAACCCATTCTTTAAACCTTTTCCATTGGATTAGATAAAAGATAGGTCGCTAGTTCTATGTATCAAATTTTCGTATATAAGAGTTAAGTATGAAATATGTTACCTTTATTATCTGCGTGTCTGCAGCTACCTTACATATTTTTAGAATTTCCTCTTGACAACATTCCATTCTATTTTTATGTAAAACAATTTTCCACGATAAAACCAAATTTTCAATTTCTTGACATGTCATAGTATCTGTCAATACACTTATTTCTTTACAGAGGTTCTTAGACAAATTGAAGTCCATGGGCAAATGTTTTGTTATAAAATAGTCTAAAACTGCCTCCCGAAATTTAATGTCAGGAAGTGGTACTTCTATTATATCAGATATTCTAGAATAAATAGCACTATCTATGTTTGTGATCTTTTTCGTTATTAACAAAACCATTAAACTGAAATTATTAAAAGACCTTGTGATCATGATTCATTATGTACAATAATGATTGAAATTATTTTTAACCGATTAAAACAAAAATATTTCATTTTTTAAATCTTAGGAGATTATATTCGTATTTTTTTACCATAATCGAAATCAAATAAAATTACCGAACCGCCATTTCAATAAATTCTACTTTAGATAATCAAAACCAAAATCTATTTTTATCATTTATTTTAATAACCAATTGAAATTCAAAAAAATCTATACCTAAAGTAATACCAAATTTTTTTTATACATAATATAACGTTGTATAAAATCAACTATTCCTAAAAATTGTGTATAATCAACTTTTACATTAATTTAAAAGACCCGAATAACAGTAATTTATTTTAATTTTCAAAGTTTATAAACTAAAAATAATTTAATATGTGATTGTTTTCTAAGAAAATATGTTGATAATTTGTAACTTACGTTCTAGATGGCTGAATAATTTTGTTTAAAAAATTATTCGTAGCTATTTTTAAAGCATAACTTTTACTATCTGAGTTACGGCTGTCTAAAAATTCGTCAGCTTCGTCTACAACTAATAATGTAGGTTTGTTACGTTTTTCAATCCAGTTAAATAATCTTTGAACATGAAAGGAAGCATCAAATCCTAACGAAGCTACATCTAAGCCCGATATTAATGCATAGTTCATATCAACATTAAGTGCAAGTTTCTAATGGAAGAAAAGGTATCTGTTTTATAAAGTTAATATATCATTGCAGAAATTCATACTTTAGCCAATAATTTTTTTCCATTTCCTGGTGGTCCCCAAATCATTAAGTTTCTAAAAGTATCATTGCTACTTTTCATTATATAGGTCGCATCCACTATATTTCTAAAAAGAATGTAAAAAGTTAAAAGATCGATATTTTTTTTTGACACCTTTACTCATTAAATCATGTATTGAATGAGCACGAATATATATATTCATAAATTATAAATTTAATAGATTTATAATCAAATTGTAATGACTAGTGAAAAATAACAAAAAAGTTACTTAAATTATGTGAATGTTAATAAGTATTTTTATGGAAACATTTATACAATTATGTTTTAAATCGATAATTTAATTATAAAATTTTGTATACTTCTTGTTCATATTCAAAGTTTTTATATATTGTTCATTAAAAAAAAAAATAGATTTGTTCTTAGATTGAAAAAGTTCCAACCTGAATATTTTAGCTCTTCAGAATTTTAAAAAAAAGGTTATTTTTATTGCATTTAACAACTTTAGTAAACACTTAAATAATAATGAGACACTAAAAATTAAATGATTGAGAAACGAGCATATACGAGAGAGTATAGGTGTATCGCCAATCGTGGATAAGATCAGAGATAATGGACTTAGATGGTTTGGTCATGTTATGAGGAGAGAAGAATCGGAAGCTGTAAGAAAAGTTATAAAAATGAATGTTAAAGGAAGAAGAGGTAGAGGAAGACTAAAAAAAAGATGGAGGGATGCTATTGAATGCGATTTAAAGACAGCTGATGTGAGCGTAGATGATGTAAGAAATCGTGTCAAGTTTAGGAAGTATAGGATAAGGGTGGCCAACCCCAAGTAGTTGGGATAAAGGAGAAGGAAAAGAAGAAGGAGAAAATGATTATTCTTATTTGTGCTATAATATTANAGGGATGCTATTGAATGCGATTTAAAGACAGCTGATGTGAGCGTAGATGATGTAAGAAATCGTGTCAAGTTTAGGAATTATAGGATAAGGGTGGCCAACCCCAAGTAGTTGGGATAAAGGAGAAGGAAAAGAAGAAGAAGAAAATGATTATTCTTATTTGTGCTATAATATATTATACTATAATATNATGATTATTCTTATTTGTGCTATAATATTAATAGTAACAAAAGAGTTAAAAAAATTTCTTAACTATCTGGCATTGTAATACAGATTTTAAATATTTTTAAAGTAATAATAATTTTAAAAAATTAACTTTGGTATACATTATATATATTTCTTGATTTATTAGTTATTTATTGTTTTTTAATTCATCATTTATCATATCTTATTAATATATCAACTTTATTTTTATTTAAATAAAAACATATTTTCAAGCTTTTAAAATAAAAAATTATCCAACTAACAAAATTACTAGTCAATAAAACATTTTATAGAACTAGTACTTAATATTATTAACGTTTTTCTAACTATACGATAAAATATGTGTGCCCGAAAAATGTCTATAAATATATTGTCATACCTACGCCTTTCTTCAAGTCTACATTTTAGAACAGTAATAACTTCCAAGATAATGAATGAAAAGTTGTACATGACCAGTCATTTTCTTAATCAGATCATTTTTTATTATAAAAGCTAGGTTAACATGTATNCCAGTCATTTTCTTAATCAGATCATTTTTTATTATAAAAGCTAGGTTAACATGTATACTGACATTAAAAAAAATTTTTTAAAAGTTTTTAAAGATGAATTAAAAAAGTAATTTATAACTGATATATCTAGAAATATATTATAATAAATATATCAACATAATTAATTTATTTGAATAGTGGTTAGTTTTAAAATAATCATCTTGTAGCTAAATTTTTATAAAGACCGTATTTAATAACAAGGAAAAACTGATTATAATCGGTTCTTTAGAAAAAAAAAATAGTATTTATTATTTTATTTTGAATTGTTTAAAAATATTGTTTGATAAATAATTTATACTTATGAAAAAATTCAGCGTAAACATTTGGCGAACACTAAATACAAATATATGCGAATATTCGAGTTGTAATGTTCATCTAGAAACAATTGCCTCCAACATTACTAACCAGACCACCAGATAAATGTAATAAGATAAACTATTTTTGCATTCTACTTTAATTTAGACTTTATAGAACAAAAAAAGTACAAAAAGACTTGACAATACTAAAAATAACAATCTTTTAAAAAATGTATAAAATCTCACGGGTACTTTGATTCCGCTTCATTAGGAAATCTTAAATCTTTCAACATTTTAATCTGTGTATAAAGCTTTTTGTTGTTCATCCATTTAGTTATCGGTCGCCGAAACGTATCATACATTGATGAACAAGAGGTTTCACGAACAAGTTTTGGTATTTCTAAAATTTATGTTTAAAATTATAGTAAAAAGTGCTAAAGTTAATACTATGTTTAATATTTTACAAACAAATTGTACTTCAATTGTACAAACGAACCCCATTTTTTTTTTATATATTTTGCAATATTCGTGGATTTCTTTAAAGAGTAAGATCCTACAACAAACGCTGTAAGATAACAACATAACGTAATTGCTTGCTCTCTAGGCTTAAGAATCCATCCTTCTACAATTTTATCTTTGAAACTTACCCTAAGTGAAAAAAAATGTTATCCATTAATATTTTAATAGTGTACATTATATTTTTTTACTACCCAAATTTAGCAGTCTCAAATAAGGTATTCTTTAGTACTGAATTATCGTCAGATTTCTCTGTTGTAGCATGTCCTAAAGGTACAAACTGTACTTTGTGTTCAACAGCGTTGGAAGACTTTACGATTTCAGCTAACATATTTGTTTTTTGTTTTTACTTAACCCAAATAGCTATTCGAAAACCATTTCTCATCAGTCAAAGGACACAAATTTATAAAAAAGTAAATCACCATACTAATATACTAACAAATACTTTTTTATAAATTGTTTATAGTTGTGTTTCTTATAGCAATATATTATACATAGTAAATAAAAAATAAATAAATCTAAAAGGTCATAAATAGCATCCAGATGAAATTTTTTAAATTATCTTTAAAAAATACTATACAGTATACAAGTAAAGTCCTTTATGAAACAATCCTTGAATTAGAGATATCTGTAATATCTAATTTAATTGTTTCATAATTGTTAAGATCCCAACTCAATGAAACCTTTCAGTTTCAATGCGTAACTGTAAAGTTATTGTAAATATATGAAACTTACATGGAAAGCCATGTTTTTGTTGGCTCAACAATACGTCAAAAAATTAAAAAACATATCTATTTGAAGCTATAATTAAAAAAAATTCCACTTAATCTCCAAAATAGAGGGGAAAGACCAAAAACTTACAGCTGTTATAAAACAGTCTATATTGATATTAGCTTCGATGCGAAGCTGAGAAGATATGGTTTTACTATGATGTGTTTTTTGTGTCTGTTACCACTTTTCTTCAGCTCTTATCGAACGGATTTCTTTCAACGATACGTCAATAGATCACAAATCGTATATAGTCGAAGACATTACACTCAAAAATTGAAAAAATTTCCTTCGTTCCCCGTAAATGGGGGAAACATCAAAAAAAATTTCAAATTTAAAAATCGCTAATTTTCGAAATTTTTCCAATTTTTTTTACTAAAAACTGCCGTAACTTTTTCAAAAATGAACATATCAATATAATTTTTTTTTATATAGATGCTTAATGTTTTTACCTATAATTTGGTATATTTTTTTTTATAAATCTGACCTTTTACCTGACCACAGGAGGGATTTAAAATGACAACTTTTTCACAAAAAATTTACTTTTTCAACTTAACTTTTGAAAGTGTTCCGGAAAGTCTGACACTTTTATATATATATCTTAAATTAAAGCTAATGTAATGTAATTTATTATTGAAATCAAAATTTCTAACTTTATTTTGTCTTAACGGTGAAAATAGTTACCGAATGTTATTTTTGTGTGAAAATTCTCGATTTTATTTTGTACATTTTTAACTTTATAATGCTATAACTTATTGAAAAGTGTATGGATCAACACAGTTTTTTTATGAGTAATATTATTTTTTAATAATATATCTTTCATTCGACATACTTTATCTTAATCAGGGTATTAATAAGGAAATAGCAGATCATATAGCTTTTGGAATAATCCACCAATTTTTTAAAATTTAACACTATCTAAAGATTTGCATCAAAGCATTTTTTTTTAAAATGATTTTAATTTCTGTGAGATATCATTATACTTGATCCAACTATGCCACGGCACCTCTTTACTGCGACCCCCCTGTGCTGGGTTTTTTTATTGTGACCCTTTATCTGCCCATATTTTTTAAGTGTATTACATAATTACTGAATAATTGCTTCATTTTAAATTATTAAAAATGAAATCTTGTTTAATATAGTTTATGATTAAAAAAAAAATTATTAATATATAACAGTTTTAGGACAAGTACTCTTTGTTAAGTATTTTAATACATAGAGTAGATATGTAGTGCAGGTAGATACAACTAGTATATTAATGTATGTTTATAACGAATTCTCACATTGTGATAATTAACCAATCTTTGTATTAAAAAGCTTATGACTTAAAAAGTACTTATCTTCAAGTTTATATCAACCTATTGAAATTTTCTGTAAAAAAAAACTAAAAATAGTTGTTTTTAAATTTCAGCATTTTTTATGTTTCTCTCAGAAGTATGCCGTCCTAATTGTGACATTGATTATTGTCGACTAGTGACTAGTAGTTCGCGTTATAGTTGACTATGTGTCTTAAAAAAAAAAAAGAAGGTTAAATATATAATTGTCGATATTTTATCATGAATAATGGAGTATAGAAATGAGATAGAATCATTGAGTTATTTGAATTTGTTTAGCTACAAGGTGAAAAATAAAAATATACGGTGTATGAACATGAATCTATTTGTTAAAATGAAATGACTACATATGGTTTTTTGTAAAATGTAAAGTGATGGGAAATTACACACGGATGATACAAACCCGAATAATATTAATTCTACTATGATATGTGCAATGGTATTGGGGGAAGATTTTATGACTCTTGATATTTTTTTTTATCGATTTTAGTGTATATAGGAAACAATGTGTGTTTACGTAAAATTCAACTGTTTGATTGTTGGGCGCCAAGCTTTAATAGCTGAATTATTTTTTATATGAATGATATATACAAATAAAACATTTACGTTACACATATTGTTGCAATTAGAATGATGATAAAATAGTTATAAAATAAATTTTTATAGTTATCTACGTTTAGAAGCAATTCTATTATTCCCACAATAAAAATTATTCATGACTTATTTTAAATCTCTCTTTATTTTTTATGACATGCTTAGAAGTATAATTTCTTACCATGTGTTCAGCTAGCTCGATGGTTTCTTATACAAAAAAATATATAATAAGAGCACTGACTTTAGTCTACTAATTTATTTTATAATCTTATAAAAATTGTTAAACTTGAAATATTACTTCACTTAAATTCCTTTCTATACTTGGTATCTGAATATATATATATTCTTTTATAGTTCAAAATAAAAATTTATAGAACCAGATAGATTATGAAAACTAATCCTTAACGACATGTCACAAATTATTGTTTTACCAATAATTACAATCACTTCATGTGCTAGGGTAATGACTTCAATAAACTATCAATATCTTATAAAATTTTGTATTTGATGTGAGTTTAGACAGAGTTAGAGACAGGGTGGCTACACCATCGGAGATAATACTCGTCGATGCACGACCCTTACAGAGTCTAAAACTGCTTGCCGAAAAGAACGAGACAGAATATAAGAATCAATTCCTAGTGACACGTCATAAACTATTGTTTTACGAATAGTTTTAACCACTTGACGTTCTAGGGTAATGATTTCAACAAACCATCAGTATCTTGTGCAATGAATCAAACACTTATCTATCTAAATTTAAGATACACTCTACGATTTCCTTAGTGACATGTCATAAACTATTGTTTTATTAACAGTTTTAACCGCTTGATGTGCTAAAGTAGATTTTTGAAATACAATTATTAAATAAACAATCCATTCGAAGAGTAAAAAAAATTCTTAATCAGAACAACTCACAAAATACAAAATTAACAAAATTAATTGTCTTATTAGTTCTTAAACATTTAAAATTAAAAATAAAAAGAGTAAAGTAATTTTTTTTTTTAATTAAATTACTTATGAGAGAGTTAAATAAAAACACCAAGTGTGGAAAAGTTTCTAAGTCCGAGAGAGCACAATCGCAAAACAGTCTGGTGCAGAGACGCTTCATGAACAGATTTTTAGAAAAAATAAGGTAGTGAATGAGCCAGAAATCACTCTTTTATAGGCCTGTTTTTTGAGGGAGAGAATTAATGTTTAAGATTTTAATTGAAAAATACTTCTTATTGATTAGTCAATTAAACTTAAAGGGACACGTGCGCAACCTATTATTCTACTATTTTGAGTCAATGTTATATACGGGTATCGGTGTTATATAATTATCATCTCTCATAATGATGTGGTTTATTAAAAAAATTATCATTATAAAAATATAAATAAAATAAAATTATAAGTGCTAAATATCTATTACATATAGATCGCTATAGCAACTATCTTATCTTACATAAATTTTAAATATTTACCCTACCTACTATTTTTTACTTCTGCACCACTACTTAGTATATTATAACAAAATAACAGTAGTTTAAATAAACATTTGAGTTAAAATAATAAAGAAAGTATAAGATATTAACTAGCATATTGTAATATTCAATTTTACAACATTTTTATATCACAATATAGAACAAATAGAATTATTGGGTTGTCGGTTTGCACTTATATTTTGTGCTTTAGGTAGATTATTAGGTTTATATTCATGATTTCTATTCGAATATTCATTAGTTACTGACATATACTCAGGTGACGAAATTGGCCGTTCAAGCTTAAAATGTGTTTGATTTTTTTCTTTTAGTAATCGGTTTTCCATTAAATTTGATTGAGTGTATTTATAGCTATATTTACTATAATTATTCTTAACATTTTTAGATACAGATGAATATTCAGAGGCTAAAATTGATCGTACGAGTTTGTGATATTTTTCATTTTCTTCTTTAAGTAATCGACATAGTTCTATATTTGGTTTATTATAATATACAATGTATTTTGGATAAAATTCATAATCATTGTATTTTACGTACACACGTTGACTTGAACTGATAGTTGTATCAAATCCATCTGGTGGATATTTAATATTATGCACTGCTTTTTTATTCTTCAATGGTTTAAGTCTGTACACATTACCAATTAATACTGAACAAACCAAAATTACACGATTACCTGAAAAAAATTTGCTGTATAATTTGTAATTTTTTCAAAGCGTTATTTAATATTATTTATTAAATTTTTATAAAAAACTCGAGTTAACTTAAGTAAAATAACTTTATTTATGAAACCTTAAAAAGTAAATAGATTTAAAATTTGTTTATTCTTCAATTAACTAAATTTACTCCCTTAAATTAAAAAAATCAAAATTATATAAATATTTAAAATTAAATTGCTTATTTATACCTGGAATTTGGTTGGAGGCATGGAAATTTGCATAGTTAGCATCATCACTAAATGAAACACCAGCACCAAATTTTGCTCTTTTTGTTTTTCTCCAATTTAATCCATCATTTAGAGATGTTATTGCATTAGATTCTGAAGTGACATGATATAAAATACGCTCTTTAATTAAATGTTTAAGTTGTAGTTCAGCTTTTCTAAGTAAATACAATCCATACATTTGTTTATGATTGACACGATACACTTTGATTATTTTGTCACACTATGAAATAAAAATAAAAAATAAAATCTATAACATTTTAATGAAGTGGATCTACACTATGTTAAATTTTTTATATAAAATATATTTTTAATTAACAGTAAAATACTCTTTATTTGAAAAAGAATAAATCATATAATTACTTACTATTGAAAAAGTCTCGTTTATACAACCTATAAGCCATTGTTCTTCATCAGTCTCACAATCAATTAAAAGGTTGTTGTTACACTTTGGAAGTTCTCCCAAATGATCTATGTAATTCGTGAATGTTAAATGTTTTTGATAATACATTTATAAATCGACTTCTTTGAAATTAACAGCAAACTTTCATTTAACTTTAACATACATAACAATATTATAAGTTATAATACTATATACTATTAAATATCCTATTAATTATAGTTAGAAATTTTGATTATATTTTTGGTTTATTTTTTATTTCATGATACATAAAAAAATTGTTAAAATTAAACTTAGATAAATTTGAAATATTATTATATGCTTAAAAAACTTACTTAATAACACTATAAAGGGGACTTAAAATGTGCGACAAAAATAATTATATCAATGCGTTTTATTTTATAATAATTTTATGGTACAACTGCAACACTCAAAATCAAATAATAAATTTTCAACTTATTTAAAAGTGTTTCGTCTGCAATTAAAAACTACAAACACTTAGGAATATTTAATTTAGATTAACAATGAAAATTTTTCATATTAATTTTATTTGTCAATTCATAATTAATAATGGATTTTTAACTATTGCAGGCCGTAAACAATATTAGTCATCTTAAAAATTCAATATCATTAAAATTTCTTCTAATGTCTATATATTAATTATGTTCATGTTTATTAATATAAATAGTACAATTTCGTGAATAGTGAATTGCACGTCCTGTTTTTTTTTTTTTAAATTATTCAATTATTAATTTAATCTTAAAACATATGATATTAAAAATAAAATATATAAAACTACATAATAAAGCTACATAAGTATTGTTTTGTATGCATTCTAGTTTTAGCTTCGATGTGAAGCTGAGAAGGTATTAATTTTACTATGATGTGATTTTTTTTTTTTTATTTATTTTATTTTTTTTTTTGTGTCTGTGAACGCTTAATCTCTGCTCTCGCTGGACCGATTTTGATGAACAATATGTCATATCGTATCTAGTCGAAGACATTGCCCTCAAAAATTGAAAAAAATTCCCTCGTTTACGGGGAACGAGGGAAATACCCTAAAAAATTACAAATTTAAAAATCGCTAATTTTCGACATTTCTTCAAGTTTTTTTACTTAAAATTATCATAACTTTTTTAAAAATGACCAAATCAATATAATTTTTTTTTATATACCTTATGTATTTACCTATCATTTGATATATTTTTGTGAACATTTGACCCTTTACCAGCCCACAGACAGAATTTCAAAATTGTCAAAAAATTAATTTTTTCAATTTTACTTTTGAAAATGTTCTGAAGAGACTGACACTTTTATAAATACCTTAAATTAAAGCTTATGTAATATACTTTAATTAAAAAAAAAAAATTGACCTTTGGATTTGTCATCATGGTGAAAATGAAAATATGCTAATTATGTGTTAAAATTCTGAGTTTTGTATTTTATTTTATTTTAAAATACCTGAATTTAAAATTAAATCATTTTACTTTGTAATTTAATAATTTTTTTACTCTATTTGTGTGTGCTACTACTAGACTATAATATTCCAAATTTTTTGGAAACATGTTGCTATATAAATCATTTTAAAAAAAAATAATTATTAGTTTCTCCTGAATTCACAATGGATTTTTAGATCTTTTGAACAACTTTTTTTGATTAGTAATTTTAGTTAAAGTAAATCATTAAAATTAATTCTGTTCATATTTTAATTGTAGAATCTTTATAAACACCAAAAGTTACTTGGAAATGATTACTATTATTTTTATTTAAGTTATCTATTACGATAAAAATGCAAATAAATATTGAGCTTTTCTGATAAATTTACTATAAATAGTTATTATAAAATTTCCTGACTGTATATTATTCTTAACGATGCAATTTTTTTAATTCTCATAAAATTTCCTATTTAATGATGTCAAATCAAATTTGCAAATCGAGCTAAAAGTTATGGTAATAAATACATTTTTTTTTTAATTTAAATTTTCACAAAAATCAACTTTAAAGGATTAAAAAAATTGGTTAGATATGTCATTTTCCCTGTTTTTAACATATTAATTTATTATTAAATCAGTATTAATTTAAAACAACTTTTTTTTTTCTTTATTATTTTTTTATATGCAAATACTTATTTTTTAATTATTCAAATTTAACATATACTCTTATTTCCTTAATTATATCCTAATTAAACTTATGTTTAAAATTTTGAATATATGCTGAACATTTTCAAAAGTTTCAAAGGTTAATTTTTTCTATTTTTATATGCCCTTGTGGGCAGTTCATGAGTCAGATTCCTAACAAAAATATACCTAATAAAAGGGAAATACCTAAGGTGTTTATAAAATAAAAAATTGTTTCGATTTATTTATTTTCCAAAAATTTATGAGAGTTTAAGTAATACGAATTTCTAAAAACGTCAAAATTTAATGATTTTAAAAATGTGTAATTTTTTGGGAGGTATCCCCCATTGACAGAAAATAGAGGAAAATTTTCTATTTTTGAGAGCAATATCTTCAACTAGATACGACTTGTGATCTTTTGATGTATAATTCAGTAAAATCTGTTCAGAAAAAAGTGGTAATACACACACAAAAAAAATTTAATAAAATTATTTCTTTTATAACTTTATATCAAACTTAAAATGAACTTTTTGAATATATCGAACGAATTTAATTAGTAAACCTTAATAAACAACTAGAATTTATTTTTACTGTAATCAATCAGATATGGTTGTGTGAAGTTATCTGCTCATAAATGTTGTGACACCCTTAAAATATTCTAATACAATTTGAACAATTTAAAATCGTAAAAATAGAATTATTGTATTCAATAATATTTTTACCATTATTCAATAGAGGGTAAGTTAACTTGTTATTTTAAGTTAATTTTGGAAATACTGCACTAAGTTAAAAGTAACTAGTAACTTTTTTAAAATTGTTGTAATGAATATATTATTCGAATTAAAAATAAATTTGTTAAATTTAAATTCCCCAAAAACTAACAATTTATCTAACTTAATTTTAAATCTTTAACAAATTAATGCCGAGCTTTGTAATTAATGCTTTCTTTATTTAAAATGAATATTTTTTAATAATATTTATATTTTCAGATATATGGTCTAAATTTATGTGTAATGGTTTTTTATTGAAAATATGATAACATTTGTAATGAAAAGTGTTATTTACTTCTTATGTGCACATAATTTACTTAACACTCAAATTTAATTTACAGATAATAAATCTATACAACAACTATCGTAAACAAAATTATCTTGAAATTAATTATATTTAAATATTTAATATACACAATATATTTAATGTTCCAAGTTTTAACTTTAGTTGTGTAAAATTATAACAACAAAATTAATTAATTATGACATGTATATCTTATGTAAAAATAGCAGAGTGAAAATATTTAATTATATAGAACCCCAACCAAATACCAAAGTTATCTTCAAAATTAAAGCAATGATCAATATTTCACACTTGAATTATTGCATATACAGCATAATTAATGATATATACAAAAGGTTTTATTTATTTCACAATTTATTACTTACTATACCAAAAGTTTTTATAACAATAAAATAAATTATTGAATGGTTACTCGATTAAATAAAAATCGACCACAATAGACTAACAGCTATTAATAACTAAATAATATTCTCTTATGTGTTTTACTTGTGATGGTACAAACTCTATTCATCAGTATATTTTTATAGAGAGCAAAGCTTATTTAAAAGAAATAAATTAAGATCTTTACTTATCGTTCAATATCATTGGGACATAAATAAGAGTATATATTTTAATTCCTTGAATTGTTTATAAATACCGAACTCTATAGCAATGTATAATACCAAACTAAAAGACTATATTTTTTATTTGTTTTTTTTTTAATCTAAATCAAAGGTATACTTTTATTTTTACATATTGTTTTTTATTTAAATCTGTAAACATTATGTGAATTATAATCTATTTAATGTAATCGCCAATGACCTTTATTGTCAAGGCTTAAGTCAAAAATAATAATAATAAGAATTTATATTTATATACAATTAAATCTATAATTGCATAGTAAATTTCTATAATGGTGCTTAAGTCATCCAAGCATTTTTTATACCCTACACCTTATGTTTGTATTGAACATAAATTAGAGTTGTATTTATTTTAATACATGAATTATTTAAACGTTATATTTTTTTAATTTTAGCATTAATTGAAAAAAATGCAGAATTTTTAAGGAAAAATAAAAAAATGTGAAACAAATTACTGTTAAAAAAATTAATGCTACTAATATTACATCAATCATATAATTTTGATACCACGACATTTCAACTGCTGAAGATTTTATATGATGATCACTTTTATGTTGTATAACATACTCCGTCCAATACACTGCTGTTTTTAAAGGAGTTAAAGGTCGATCGTGGAATCTCTCTGCTAACTCCTTGGCTTTTTGTTTATATCTATAATTAAAATTAAATTAATTACATAAAACAATAAAGAAGATTTTAAAACACAGTACAATTTAAAATAGATAAGATAGACGAGATAGTCTAATTCTAATTTAGTATACTCAAGTATAATAAGATTTGGATAAGTTTAAAAATTATATTTGTGGAAAAATAAGCTTTTATTATTTATTCAAGCATGGGGATGATATTAATGATGTAATAATTATTTTTATGAATAATATTTAGTGGTTTCTTAGAGAATAGATTTCTTTTAAAATGAGTAATCTCATATTTTGATGATATTAAATGGACTTATCGTTTACTAAAACTGTCAATATTTAACTTCTTTAAAAATACTTCAAATGCAGTGTAAAAAATGAGTGCCACAAATCTTGGAAGCTCTGTAATAAAATTACTTTTTTTTTATTTTCATAAAAAAATATTAGTATCAAATTTATTAGTTTTCGAAAAAAATTAAAAAAATTGTTTTATAATATAAAATATAATTATTTAAAATGTATTATTATTGTATTAAATAATACGATAGTATAAAGTGATTTCATTCAAATATACTTTTTTTTATTTGGTTTAAATAAACATAAATTTACGTACATAAACTAAAAACTAATTATGTTCAAGAAGTTAAAAGATTAGCTGGAGCTCAACAATGTTTAATTTTAAAAATTGTATTTTTATTTACAATAATGTTTACATCATTGGAGGAAAATTTTGGTATTCGATAAAAAAGGATCATGTAAAGAGTATATACAAAACCTTAAATGTAAAACGAGTATATACAGAGTGATTTTTTTATCATAACCCACTCAATTACTTACAGAATAATAATAATTAAAAAAATTTTTTTTATTATTATCTTTAGTTACACATTATTCTTGAATTTTTAACTATGTAATACTTTTTAAGTTCATCCCTTATGCCTTGGAAGGGGGTCAACTTTGTTTTTTTAAATGGTAACACATATTTTTAATTTAATAAAATGTTTGAGTTTTTAATTTAATAGTAAATGGCATTTGAATTTTTAATATAACTTTATTAGCTTATTAGATATAAACATTTAAAGTTTCAAAATTTTGAGTTAATATACATGTATAATACACATGGGATTGTAAATACAGGTAGCTAATT